CTAGCTTTTTGGAGAAAGTGTCTGGCTATGTTGCCCAGGCTGGTCTTAATTCCTGACCTCAAGGAATGCTCCTGCCGCAGCCTCCCAAAGTTCTGGGATTACAGGCAAAAGCCACTGTATCCGAAATAGAATCCTCTCCCTAACTCAGGGGGTCCAGGTAGTCCTTTCCACTTAAGGTAGTTCTCCAACCTGGGGTGACATAAAAGCACTGACCTAGAGACCACTGGCGAAAACTAATGTGCAAACAAATGAGTCATAAAGGGGAAATCAATTTCTCTGGGCCACCATTTCCCTTTACTCCAGTACCCAGAATCCTCTCCCAGGTCGTGCTTCAAGGTTCATCTTAAAACAAAAGGGAGTGATGAGCACAGGCTCTAGAAAGTTGATCAGAAGGAACAACTGTGGGAAGATGAGACTTGAGACAAGGTGAGACAGCAAATACTGTAAGCCACCTGAGCTCAGAGAAAAGGTTAGAATAACAGTTTACAGGTTAAACAGATGACGTGAACCTCACTTTCACAGAACCAAAGGATTAGTCCAGGACTAATCCTTAGTCCAGGAGAGTGGTCAGGTTTATTTGTTGCATCACTGGTTCTGAGCCCTGGCTGTGCACTGGAATGGCTAGCAAAACGGGTCCTGGGCCCCCAACCCACTGTAACTTCAGTTGGTCAGGAATGGACAGCTACACTCCCCATGTGTTCAGGTTTTGTGTTAGAGCATTTCTTAGGAAAGGCTTCACTATAGTCTATAAAAAGTGTTTCCTGGCCAGGCATGGTGGCTCACGCCTGTAATCCCAACACTTTGGGAGGCCAAAGGCAGGCAGATCAAGGTCAGGAGTTCGAGACCGGCCTGACCAATATGGCAAAACCTTGTTTTTACTAAAAATAAAAATTAGCCGGGCGTGGTAGCATGTGTCTGTAATCCCAGCCTACTCAGGAGCCTGAGGCTGGAGAATTGCTTGAACATGGAAGGCAGAGGTTGTGGTGAACCGAGATCGCGCCATTGCACTCCAGCCTGGGCAACAAGAGCGGAAACTCCATCTCCAAAAAAAAAATAAAAAGCTTCCTTTCTGAAGCAGCCCAGCCCATACAGGGCAGTTTTGTTACCCACTATAAGGTGCTTGTTACTTCTCCACAGGCTCTGCCACCTTGACCCCACTGACTACCCTACAAAGGAGCTAGCTCCCTCAAGGAAGACGCCACACCAAAAAATCCACCAGTTGTCAAATGATCCTTTATTGAAATACTTTCCTTTGTGCTTAACTCTGTGGGAAAGGAAAAAAAGTCTATCAGTAAAAGGGAAAGTTTAAAAGGATTATCCCAACCCCACCAGTGACCATTTCCAAAACTTCCCAGCTTATCTCTGTGAATACATTGGGTGGCCCCCCTTTTGCCCCTATTGTAACAATGGAAAATGAAGCAAAAAAGTCACTTACGGCTGGGCATTCCACAGCACCACTGTTGATGTCATCTATGATGTCATGAGGGTGGCGGCCATCAACATTACAGCCCACAGACTGGGCAGTCCCCAGGATCTCTTTAATGGTTCCTTTAGTAAAGAAATGGTGACACTGGAGGTGCTGGCTCAGTCCCTCATAATCCTCATACTGGGGAATACTCAAGGGGTTCATAGCAGGCAATGGAAATAATGAGGTTCCTGCTCCCCTAATAAAGTGCAGAGCTCCATCTAGTCCCATGACCCTGAATGCAAAGCTTCCATGGGTCCTTGATGCCCAGATTAAACACATCCAATTTAAGAGCCATCCATTCTTTCAGTCTCAGAAAACTGCACCCCATCTTGGGTCTCACTGAGCACCCTTTAAGTGGGAAGAATGTTAACACAACTACAGTTACAGCGGTTACACGTTGTCCTGCTCTTACCAGAGAGTTCTCTGGCTAAGGATCGGTGCCGCATCTGTCGAGCAATGTTGATGATCTCATCAAAAGTGATATTCCCACTGTGTTTAACTGCAGAAGAGAAAACAGCAAAAGCTCTGTTACAGTCTGAAGCCAAAGCAGACCATGTGTCCTTCATTTCATTTCTAGGCTGTTCCCATGCTTTCGGCACAGAGTCATCCACATGAAGAACCACCCTGTTTCCTAAGCTGGGGTTTACTATCAGCTCACCACTGGATTGCACCAGCCAACAGAGACCTGGTCAGGTGCAGTGGCGGGTGGCTGAGGGCAAAACCAAGCCTTCACAAATCTGACATGGCAGAAACTGTTTTAGAGATGAGAAATGACAAGCTTAAATTGCCAGGGACAGTTAAACTGCCCAGTACCTGCCGGCTCTATGTGCTCTCCTGATTATAGGTCACTGTTGCTGACGTCTTCCTCCTACATGCACTGACTGGGGCCTGCCCCACACACGGACTACGTGGGCATTTTTTTTTTTTGAGACAGTGTCTCACTGTCACCCAGGCTGGAGTGCAGTGGCACGAATCTGGCTCACTGCTGCCACCTCCACCTCTCGGGTTCGAGTGATTCTCCTGCCTCAGTCATCAGAGTAGCCAGGACTACAGGCGAGCACCACCAGGATAATTTTCGTATTTTTTGGTGGAGATGGGGGTTTCACCATGTTGGCCAGGCTGGTCTCAAACTCCTGACCTCAAGTGATCCACCTGCCTCAGTCTCCCAGAGTGCTGGGATTACACAGGTGTGAGCCACCCAGCATATATGGCACTTTTTGATACTACCTGGCTCTAGCAGCCTTAACCGTATCAACACCCAATAGCCATGTCAACCCCAGGTTTCCTTCAAGGGAAAACAGCCATATATATCAAACATCTCACAAACCATTACCAAAACCAAACTAGGGAAAAGATGACTCACTGTTTTTCTGTTTCTTTCTGTCTCTTGGTGGTTCCTTGAGGGCTTTGATGATCAGGGCAGAGGCAGAAGGCACCACCTCAATCTGCAGAGGAGATTCTTGAGTTAATACTCCACCTCCAGTGAATACTGCTTTTGAAAGCATGCTGGCTTTCAAAAATCATGGCCACACACTGTCCAAGTCTCTGCCCTAGGTCCATACTCTTGACAAAGCCTCCCCAACAAGGTAAAATCACTCAGCTCACCAATGGTGGCAGAAATACTCTATTCAGGAATCCCAGAGGGTTGCTACCTCTGTCCCCCCACCCTCCAATCCCAAAACCAAGCACAAGTAAATACCTGGGCCTGTCTGTTCTGAATGGTCAGTTTCACTGTAATCCTCAGGCCCTTCCAGTCACCCGTTGCCTTGGCAATGTCATCACCAACCTTTTTCGGAGACTAGAAATAAAGGAATGTAATCAACATGGTGTCCAGATGTGAACTACAGCCTTGAAACCTGCCCACCACTTCTCACTTGGCAACATCTCAAGTACTTAAGGGCACCTTCCCACCTTCAGCACAGCTATCACCATAGCATAAATTGGGGGTTGGGATTGTCTTGTCCAGGACTGTAAACTGCAGACTTGGCCACAATGGAATCTAGACCCCTCCTAAGTGCCTATGTGCTTAAGGAGGGGGATTTTCAGCCCTGCTCACATTAGAATCACCTAAGGAGCTTTCAAAATATTAGGTTCCCATGTCAGACCACCCACGTCCATCTGCCTGGATGGGCGTCTGATTATTTGCTAAGTGTCCCTTAAGTGCCAGCTGAGCTAAGGGCCAAGGAAGAGTAGTTAAGATACAGGTTAAGAAAAACCAATGGGGAAGAGCATTTGGGACAGGGGACCGCTGTGCAAGGATTACATAAAGGCCTAATGAAATTCAGGGAAATCCAAGAGTACAGAATAACGGGGAAGCCAGCAGTTGCTCAGCAGGCATAAGGCACAGCCTGCCACATTAACTGCTAAGTTTACATCCACAACACAGCTGTTAACACTCACTGGATCTTCACCCACACCCCATTTAATCTTCCCAACAATGCCATGCCCACTTCCCTGACGAGGAAATACAGATATTGGCTGCCCAATGTCACTAAGCCACTCCTAACTTCAAAACCCCCTTGGGCCCACCCCTCAGGTGCCCCAAAGCAACAGTGGAGACACATGGAGCTAATTACAATTTAAAGGCACCGGGTTCGATGTTTCACGCACGACCTTCCTAAGGTACCTAGTACTAGTCAGTGGCTCAGGCCTAGTGAGGGTGACAATCCAAGCCACGAGGGCACCTCTGGCACAGTCGTGACTCCACGAGCCGGCGCTTAACTCTGCTCTGTAAGTGAAAACAAGCCCCTTGGCGGGGATGACGTACCAGACCCAGGGGGCCGATCTTGGGGGCCAGCGCAGAAGTGGCACCGACTTCACCTCCGGTGCACCTCAGGTATACTGGAGGAAAAGAAGGGTTAGGGTCTCTGCAGAGGGAGCCCCCGAGCCACAGCCCTCTCAGCGTCTTTCCGGGGCTGGACACATCACCCTCTGCCTCTTCTCGAAACAGCACCGAGCGTGAGGCCGGCCACCCGCTCCTCCCTCGGGCGTGGGCAGCTCCGAACCTCACACCGCGGAGGCGTGGAGAGAGCCCCGTCGCCCGCGAACCCAGGCCAGTGGGTCCAAACGCCCGAAGACAAGCCTTACCCTAGGGCCTGCGGGCTCCCAAGCCGCCACAGGTGGTTCGGTCCTCCCTCCCCACCTACACGTGGAGAAGCTAAGGCCTAGAAAGACTGAGGCTTGGCCAGGACGGCGCAGCACCGGGAAGGCCTCTAGGAGGCAGCGGCTTTAAGAGCCCCATATTAGAAAGCTTTGCACGCGCGGCGGGGCCGAGGGATGCTCCATCCCGCAGCCCCGGCCACAACGAGAGCACGCACCGACTTTGATCTCGTTGGGGTCGAACTTCGGCGGCATGGTGGAGGCGGCTGGTGTCGGATGAACCCGGATTCGGGACGACCGAAGAAGGTTGCACCTTCGCCCCCTCCGAGCCGAACGCCGAGAGGCCGGAAATCGCGCGGACGACGCCGGATATAGGGAGGAAAACGCGGTTATCGCGAGAACTGTCGTCACTGCCCAGCCTTCCAGAGACGCTTTTTTGTCGCCATGTTTGTTGTGGGCAGGCGCCTGAGGCTGACGGCTTGCGAGCTGGGCACCGCGATGCGCTGAAGGTAGAGATTCCGAAAGGGAGATCGGGCAGTTCGCTCTGGAGACGTCTGAGAAGAGGGGTTGCTCCCGTGATCCCAGGCCTGGCTGTTTCCCATACTCCTTTATCGTGAGTGTCACCCCGGTCCCCAACACCCAATCCCAGAGCCCCGCCCCTCCCCTGAGGGGTCCGTTGTCCCATTCCGAGACCCCAGTACCGCAGCGACCCCTGCCCCCTCCAGCACTTGGTGTGTGCACTTTAGTTATCAAAACAGTCTATTTATGTGGAAATCCAGTCCCGCTTTTCATTCTGAGAGTCCGCGGTTCCTAGAGCCTCAGACTTCGTCATCCCGGTCTGCGTGACTTTCTGAGATTCTGAGTTTGTCCCCAGCACCTGCGTTTGAAGGAGACCAGACTCTGGCTCCGCCCGGCCCGTGCCGGGTGGTCTGCGGCCCCGAGTCCGTGACCAAGCCCTCCGAGTGATCAGCCTGCCCTCGGGTGCACCCGCGGTTCCCAACGTGGGGGACCCCTCCATCCGTAAAGCCAGGTCAGCCACTGCCCACCCCACCCCAGGAAATATGGATGTGGCCCTCCCCCCGCATCTAGGCTGGACGTCGGAAAGGGAGGGACAGGCATGTGGGGCAGCCTGGAAAGAGCTGATCTTCTGGGAGGGGTGGGAGAGCGATGGTGGTTGGGAGGAAGTCGGGGGGAGGGCTGCACATCGGGAAGGGGGTGCAGGAGGGTTAGTGACTGGGGAGCAGAAGGGTAAGTGCTGGTCATCAGGGAGTGATGGGAGAGGGCTGTTTTCAAACCATTCCCCATCCTTGCAGGCAGGTGGAGTGACAAGAAGGTCTTGAGCTGGCTCTGCAGGCCTGGCTGCCTCCCCAGACAGCCCCGCCCCTGTGGGTGCAGAGCTGCCATCTCTGCCCATCCCTCTGAGGACTGGGTGTATGTCTTCTTCAGCTGCATCTCCTCCCAGGGCTGTCTTCTCCCTAGCTCCTCTAGTGGGCCCTGAATCAATGCTGCTTGCATGTGGGTGCTTTGTGGCTCACTTTTATTGAGCACTCGTGTGCCAGGTCCTGTATTATGCGCTTGACATATATGAAGTCATTGGATCCTCACAGAAGCCAGTGTTGATAGCATGGTTACTTAAACTTTACAGATGAGGAAACTGAGGCTCTGAGAGGTGAACCAAGGTGACCTCAGCGGTCGTGGGTGGCAGATCTCGGATTCAAATCCAGTTCTCTTTCATCCCAAAGCCTGTGCTGCTCACCATGCACTTCCCTGGGTGATTGCTTCCTGGCTCATTGCCATCCCTTATCCTGCTCTGATATTTACAGACACTGTGCAGGCCCTGGGCAGGCAGTGAGCACCTGGCTCTGAGTTCAGGACAGTGTACTTCGTGTGTGCCAAGTTATGTGAGCACCAAGGAGTCGGGCAAATCCCACAGGTCAGGACTTGAGAGACCACGGTTCCAGGCTGCAATCCAGGCTGTACAGCCAGGCCACTGAACTTAATAAGCATCTGTTTCTTCACTTTATTTATTTATTTATTTATTTATTTATTATTTTCTGAGACAGAGTCTCCCTCTGTCACCCAGGCTGGAGTGCAGTGGCGTGATCTCGGCTCACTGCAACCTCCGCCTCCTGGGTTCAAGTGATTCTCGTGCCTCGGCCTTCCAAGTAGCTGGGACTACAGGCGCACGTCACCACGCCCAGCTACTTTGTGTATTTTTAGTAGAGACGGGGTTTCACCATGTTACCCAGGCTGGTCTCGAACTCCTAGGCTCAAGTGACCCACCCGTCTTGGCCTCCCAAAGAGCTGGGATTACAGGCATGAGCCACCACACCCGGCCTGTTTCTTCACTTTAAATAGGGATATGGTGAGAATAAAATGGAATAATAACTGAGGGTGGTAAGCTGAGGATTGCTTTTTAATTTGTATTCACCGCAGAGGTCTCTTTGATCATGATGTAGTTGAGCTCCCCAAGATCCTGGCTGGCTCTAGTTTGTTCCTGCTGATCCCGCTCTGACAGTCTAGGGGGCTGGAAGTGATTCATTGGCAGAGTCTGTTAGAGTCCCCAAAGAACAGCCTTGGAAAGCGCCTGAGGAAACTTCTCTAAGTTTCCCCAGAACAGGAAAAGGATAATGCCAAGACCTCACTATGGGTTGGTGGCAAATATGGGCCCCAACCCAGGTCATCTGGCTTGTCTTTGTCTCCACCTCATCTTGCTGCTTAATGTTTAGTCAACAAAGAACAAGGAGTACTGAGCACCTGTTGTGGGCTCAGGACACTGACAGAAGGACTAGAAAGACGCATCCCCTGACCCCATGGAACTCACTAGAAAGATGCAACCGCTGACCCCATGGAACTCACTAGAAAGATGCAGCCCCTGACCCCATGGAACTCACTAGAAAGATGCAGCCCCTGACCCCATGGAACTCACTAGAAAGACGTGGCCCCTGCCCCCATGGAACTCCGTGGAACTAGGAAGATGCAGTCCCTGGCTCCATGGAACTCATTAGGAAGACAGCCCCTGGCCCCATGGAAATCACTAGAAAGACGCAGCCCCTGCCTCCATGGAACCAGTACTAGAAAGACGCAGCCCCTGGCCCCATGGAACTTGCTAGATAGATGTGACTCCTGACCCCAGTGAACTCACTAGAAAGACATGGCCCCTGCCTCCATGAAACTCACTAGAAAGACACAGCCCCTGCGCCCATGGAATTCACTAGAAAGACGCAGCCCCTGCGCCCATGGAACTCATTAGAAAGATGTGACCCCTGACCCCAAGGAACTCACTAGAAAGACACAGCCCCTGCACCATGGAACTCACTAGAAAGACACGGCCCCGGCCGGGCGCGGTGGCTCAAGCCTGTAATCCCAGCACTTTGGGAGGCCGAGACAGGCGGATCACGAGGTCAGGAGATCGAGACCATCCTGGCTAACAAGGTGAAACCCCGTCTCTACTAAAAAATACAAAAAACTAGCCGGGCGAGGTGGTGGGCGCCTGTAGTCCCAGCTACTCGGGAGCCTGAGGCAGGAGAATGGCTAAACTCGGGAGGCGGAGCTTGCAGTGAGCTGAGATCTGGCCACTGCACTCCAGCCTGGGTGACAGAGCGAGACTCCGTCTCAAAAAAAAAAAAAAAAAAGACACGGCCCCTGCACCATGGAACTCACTAGAAAGACACGGCCCCTGCCTCCATGAAACTCACTAGAAAGACACAGCCGTGCGCCCATGGAACTCACTAGAAAGATGTGACCCCTGACCCCATGGAACTCACTAGAAAGACACAGCCCCTGCCCCATGGAACTCACTAGAAAGATGCAGCCCCTGCCCCCGTGGAATTCACTAGAAAGACACAGCCGCTGCCCCCGTGGAACTCACTAGAAACATGCAGTCGCTGTCCCCGTTGAACTCACTAGAAAGACACAGCCCCTGCCCCCTTGGAACTCACTAGAAAGACGCAGCCACTGCCTCCATGGAACTCACTAGAAAGATGCAGCTGCTGCCTCCATGGAACTCATGGTCCAACAGACCAGCTGCATACTTTGTGTTACGGCGCTACCTGTCCTGGGTGTTGGGGGCTGTGACAAATTCCCCAGTTCCTAACTTCTCTCCTGTGCCCCAGGGTCCTCCAGATCGCTCTGCGAAAAGGGAAGGATGCCACTCTTCTTCCGGAAGCGGAAACCCAGTGAGGAGGCTCGGAAGCGCCTGGAGTACCAGATGTGTTTGGTAAGGGAAAGTGGGTTTCCTCTAACTCTATCCCAACTCCTCCTCAGTCCCCAAGGAGTAGGCCTCCGCACTGCCCCCGACAAGCCATGCTCCCTCCGCCACCTGCAGAAGAAATAGCTGACTTAGACCCAACAGATGAGGTCCCCTGTCAAGGGTGCTTCTCCCCTGTAGACTGAGCGCACTGTCATTGCTTTTCAGTTCCTCATCCCTCTGGGCCTCAAGCTCCGGGAAAGCAGGCGTCATTGGTTCACTGGACCGGTGGAACCAGATAGTGTCTATGGTCCTTTGCTGCTGCTTACGTGTATGTTCTTTGCCTGGCTTGTCCACTCTGCAAAGATGTTTTGTCTTAATACTTTTTAAAACTTCTTTTTATCCTTAGGCAAAAGAAGCTGGGGCAGATGACATTCTCGACATCTCTAAATGTGAGCTCTCAGAGGTAAACTGAGCATGGTGTTGGGCTGTGAATTGGATCTGTCCCATTTTCTTGGATCACGTGTCCCTAGGAAAGACAGAGGTGGACTAGGGCTTTAGAAAGGCCAGAAGCTCTAGTCACGAGATGTTTCCTTAGATTTTGTTCTTGTGCAAAAGAATTGAGATGGTACTTTGGCCTCAGTATAACATAGTCGCCAAGAGTCGAGAAGTCTAGGTAGAAAATGTACCCATAGACCCCTAGGTTGCTGGAAGGGCCTGGCATTCTCCAGCCCCTGAAGGGGTTCACAATGGGGACAGGGTGGGTGGGGCAGGGCAGTCTCCTGCTAGCTGACTGGGGGAAGGCTTGGCCACATCCCCAGCACCGCTGCTCGCCAGCCTTGCCCCTGGGCTCAGCACTGCCACCTGCTGTGGCGTTCTGCCCTTGTTCACCTCCTGCCTGTCTCTTCCTCACGTGAATGCCACTCAGAGAACAAGCTAAACACTGGCAGGAGGGGAGACACTTACTTTTCTTTATCTTATCTTAGATTCCATTTGGAGCTTTTGCAACATGCAAAGTTCTGCAGAAGAAGGTGAGCTGGAACTTCATCTTCAGAGACTTGCTTATTGCATGTCTGCTTGTTTGAACCCACAAGGGACTTTGAGGCGCTGTCTCCCCAGCGTAGACACCTCCTTTCTCTCTGCTTCTTACGCTTTTGGCCTGCAGCAGGTGATTTCACAGAGAGGAGAGTAGGCTTTGGGGTTGGACCTTCCTGTGTCACATTCTGACTCTGCCTTCTCTCACTGGCTTTGTGACTTGGGCAACTTCCTTAAACTCTTACTTCTCCATTTCTTCACCTGTGAAATGAAGACATTCATAGTTCTCCTCCCCGAGGTACTGTGAGAATTAAATGAGTGGTAGATAGTTAGATAGAGAGAGAAATATACTGAGTGTAATGCCTGCCACATAGGAAAGGCTTATGAGCCCCGGTGTTCATAATAATAGAAACTCACCCCTTTTATTCTGGTCACGCAGGGGAGATTCTGAGGGGAATGAATGATTTTTCAGCAGAGCATTGCAGCTTTGAGTGCAGATGGGCAGAAGCACTCTAAGTGAAGTATCTAAATGAGAATATGAAAAAAAAAAAAAAACAAGCGTTCCATGCTAACAGAGTAGTAAGCTCCTTGGCGCTGGAAGTGTTTTTTTTTGTTTGTTTGTTTGTTTTTTAAGATGGACACTCTGCTCCGTCACCCAGGCTGGAGTGCGGTGGCGCAATCTCAGCTTACTGAAACCTCCACCTCCTGGGTTCAAGCGATTCTCCCGCCTCAGCCTCCTGAGTAGCTGGGATTACAGGTGCCCACCGCCACACCCAACTATTTTTTGTATTTTTAGTAGAGATGAGGTTTTGCCATGTTGGTCAGGCTGGTCTCGAACTCCTGACCTCAAGTGATCACCCACCTTGGCCTGTCAAAGTGCTGGGATTACAGGCGTGAGCCACCATCCCAAGTCTGTGCTGGAAGTGTTAGGCAGTGGTCGATGACTAAGAAAAATAGGAGTAGATGACCTGGACTGAGCCCTGGCCCGTGTGCCAGCTCTGGATGTTTTGCACATGAGCTTGTATTTAACATCATGGCAGCCCTGGGAGGCAGGCACTTGATTATTCTCTATTTTCCACGTGAAGATGCTGGTGCTGGGAAGGTTATGATCAGAATGGCTGCAGGGGGATCCCTTCTCAGAATGGAAGGTTTAGACCTCTAAGGTCTCTGTCACCCTTGAAGATCCAGATTTTAAGGAAGGGCATCAGATTCCCCATTGGGAGAGTTCATGATCCTGACCCGCATCCCCTGCTCCTGTCGTGGTGTCTGGGAGAGCAAGATGGCGGGGCGTAGCAGGGCACTGGGCTGGCTTCCATGCCCTTAGCCTGCCATGCCTGCTTCTCTTCCTCAGCCCAACATGGCCGCACATCTCTCCACACAGGTGCTGATCGTCCACACGAATCACCTCACTTCCCTGCTTCCCAAATCCTGCAGCCTCCTGAGTCTGGCAACCATCAAGGTACCGGGCCCTCCTCCCAGGCAGTTGGGGCTCTGCATGGGGTTCCAGGTGGCAGCTGAGCACCTGCTCCCTTTGGGCCGCCTCTTGTATGTCAGTGGGGCCTCATCTACCTGTCAATCTGGGATTTGATCAGCATGGTTTATTGGATACTCCTGTGGGCTGTGTGTGGGATAGGGTGACAAAGATGACCAGCCACAGGCCCTGTCCCCAGGGAGTTTACATGCTAGGAGGAAAGCCAAATGACAAACTCATGGCGAGTCAGCTAGCAGAGGGCGAGGAAACTGACACTTCCAGGCAAGAAGGAAGAGGAGGGACGCCCAGGTGATCCGGAAGGACTTCCTGCTGACTGTGAGCTCCTCCCTGGACAGGCTGGGAGGCATTCACAAGATGTGGGCGGTGTGAGCCCAGGGTTGTTCTGTACAGACCTGAGCTTGGGAGAGTGGTATGCACCTTCAGAGGAGCCCTGCAGCACAGGCCCAATCTGTTATACTATATTGTTCAGGGAATAATGACAAGAGAAAAGCCTGTATGTGTTCACTACTGATGGGTTTTTTTTGTTTTTGTTTTTGTTTTTGTCTTTTTTTAGTATTTTCGACCTGAGTTTGGTTGAATCCGTAGATATGGAACCCATGGATGTGGAGAGTACCTGTGTATGCACATGTATAAATATTTCTCCAAGGCCTTTTTTTGTGCATTTTCCTTTTTAAAAAATTAGCGGTCAGTTGTAGTGGCTCACACCCGTAATCCTAGCACTTTGGGAGGCTAAGGCAGGTGGGTCACTTGAGGTCAGGAGTTCGAGACCAGCCTGGCCAACATGGCGTTCCATCTCTACTAAAAATACAAAAAATCCCAGCAGAGCATGGTGGCACATGCCTGTAATCCCAGCTGCTTGGGAGGTTGAGGCACGAGAATCACTTGAACCCAGGAGGTGGAGGTTGCAGTGAGCTGAGATCGTGCCATTGCACTCCAGCCTGGGTGACAGACAGAGACTCTGTCTCAAGATTAAAATAAAATAAAATAAAATAGTAATTAGCAAGTACAGTTAAGCAAAGGGGGAAATGGCCAGGCACGGTGGCTCAAGCCTGTAATCCCAGCACTTTGGGAGGCCGAGATGGGCGGATCACGAGGGCAGGAGATCGAGGACCATCCTGGCTAACCCGGTGAAACCCCGTCTCTACTAAAAAATACAAAAAACTAGCCGGGTGAGGTGGCGGGCGCCTGTAGTCCCAGCTACTCGGGAGGCTGAGGCAGCAGAATGGCGTAAACCCGGGAGGCGGAGCTTGCAGTGAGCCGAGATCCGGCCACGGCACTCCAGCCTGGGAGACAGAGCCAGACTCCGTCTCAAAAAAAAAAAAAAAAGCAAAAGGGGAAACATCTATAATTTTACACTGTGGAGTATCACTATCAGTATTTTATCGCATATTTGAAAGTTTTTTCTATGCAAATATATATTTATACAATGGGGTGTTTCTTTTTAACATATTAGTATCTAGGCATACTGTTTTATAGCATAGTTTTTCAATCAACGGTAAAAATAAATATACGTAAAATAAGAAAGTGGTAAAATGGTTTGAGAAGGAAAATGAGGTGGGAATTATCCACACAGAGTGGGAAAGGAGGGGCAGGCCCTCTGTTTCTGCACTGGGGGTGTGAGGTGGCCCCAGCCCCTCCGTGCTGCTCTGGAGCCCGGAGTCCAAGGGACTTTCTCACTTGGAGACTCACAGGGGTCTTCCTTCTGCAGGTTCTAGATCTCCACGATAATCAGCTGACAGCCCTTCCTGACGATCTGGGGCAGCTGACTGCCCTCCAGGTAAGGCTGCGGAAACAGAAACCCACCTCAGATGGCCCTAGTGAGACCAGGCAGTCACTCAAGCCTGGAATGTTCTGGCTGGGCTCCAGCCAGTGGAAGCAGGCTGCACTCAGTGCCAGCTCCACCCTCCCCTTGGCTCTTTAGTTTTTGTTGTTGTTTTTGAGACAGTGTCTCACTGCATTGCCCAGGCTGGAGTGCAGTGGCGCCATCTCAGCTCATTGCAACCTCTCCCTGCCGAGTTCAAGTGGTTCTTCTGCCTCAGCCTCCCTAGTAGCTGGGATTACAGGAGTGTGCCACCGCGCCCGGCTAGTTTTTATATTTTTAGTAGAGATGGTGTTTTGCCATGTTGGCCTGGCTGGTCTCGAACTCCTGACCTCAGGTGATCCACCCACTTTGGCCTCCCAAAGTGCTGGGATTATGGGTGTGAGCCACCACGCCTGACCAATTGCTACCACTTTAAGCCGCAATAAATACCTTGATGTAGGACTTTTTGTATGTATTTTTTTTTTTTCTCACTCTGTCACCCAGGCTGGAGTGCAGTGGCACCATCTCAACTCCCTGCAACCTCCGCCTCCCGGGTTCAAGAGATTCTGCCTCAGCCTCCTGAGTATCTGGAATTACAGGCACACACCACCACACCTGGATAATTTTTGTATTTTTCAGTAGAGATAGGTTTTCACCATGTTGGCCGGGCTGACCTCAAACTCCTGGCCTCAAGTGATCCGCCCGCCTTGGCCTCCCAAATTGCTGGAATTACAGGCGTGAGCCACTGCACCTGGCCAGTAGGTGTATTTTTATAGAATTGCTGCGTTCACTAATTTGGAGCTTTTGGATACCTGACAGTAACTCATAACATCCTTTGGTTCATAAAATATTCATCTTCTCATTATTTTTAATGGCTACTTAGCTTTCCATTGCGTCTTTTTTTTTTTTAATTTTCTGAGATGGAGTCTCGCTCTGTCACCAGGCTGGAGCACAGTGGCATGATCTCGGCTCACTGCAATCTCTACCTCCCGGGTTCAAGCGATTCCCCTGCCTCAGCCTCCTGAGTAGCTGGAATTACAGGCACATACCACCACGCCCAGCTAATTTTTTGTATTTTAGTAGAGACGTTGGCCAGTATAGTCTCGATCTCCTGACCTCGTGATCCACCCACCTCAGCCTCCCAAAGTGCTGGGCGTGAGCCCAGCCCCTATTGCATCTATTTTTAATGGTTACTTAGTGTTTCATCCTGTTGGCCTCGGTCACCTCAAGGTGCTACCTTCTGGAGGGAGTACAGCTTTGGAATCCAACAAGCCCAGGTTCAGTCCCAGCACCACTACCAGCCTGAGGCCTTGGGTGGATCACAAAGCCTTGGGGCAGCCAGGTTTCCTTTTCCTTAACGCTGGGGGAACTAGAGCCTCCTGTGCGGCCTCCCCAGATCCCGGAGTCTGTAGTCCCCTTTTCCCTCCCTCCCTGATGGTGGGACAGTTACTGAGCATTTTGTGGTCGGTATGAGTGCTGGAACCTCAGCCAGAAGCGGTTCAAGGCCTGGCTGTGCTGTCCTGAGCACATGACTTCACTACCCTGAGCTTTGTTTTTTTCCTATCTCCAGCAGAAACTTAAGAATTTCTGTCTTCCTCAAGGGCCGGCAGGGGGAGACAAGGGCTTGTGTGTATAGTGCCTGGGTGCCCTGACCTGGCAGGGCGAGGGGTGCAGGGGTCATCACTGTGGTCTGTGTGTGGGTTCTCATGTCACCTCTTCCTTTTTAGTTTTTTTTTTTTTTTTAAGATGGAGTATCGCTCTGTTGCCCAGGCGATGCAATGGCACCATCTCAGCTCACCGCAACCTCTGTCTCCCGGGTTCAAGCGATTCTCCTGCCTCAGCCTCCCGAGTAGCTGGGACTACAGGCGTGTGCCACCATGCCCAGCTAATTTTTGTATTTTCAGTAGAGATGGGGTTTCACTATGTTGGCCAGGCTGGTCTTGAACTCCTGACCTTGTGATCCACCTGCCTTGGCCTCCCAAAGTGCTGGGATTACAGGCATGAGCCACTGCGCCTGGCCACCTCTTCCTGTTTCTTAGGTCTTAAACGTGGAAAGGAATCAACTGATGCAGCTCCCGCGTTCCATTGGGAACCTGACCCAGCTCCAGACTCTCAATGTTAAAGGTAGGGACCAAGAAGCTGTGTCCGTGTGACCCTCCATCAGCTCTGGGCAGTCCTGGCCGGGATCCACAAACTGCCCTGCCCCGGAGCCATTGAGCGGAAAGGCAGCCAGTCTCCAGGGGTCGCTGTAAATGGACTGACTCCTGCTGGGTCAGCTGTCTCCATGGTAACCAGAGACAGGCTGTCGGGAGTGTTCCTGTGGCTCCTCGGAGCCAGGGCTGTGTGGCTGCAGTAAGGTTCTGAGCAGCGCTTCCATCTCCAGCGACACAACAAGCCTCCCGAGGAGTCCACGGGGCAGGCCGAGGGCGGTGGTACCATCCCCAGTTTACACATGAGGAAAACAAGGCCCAGGAAATCGAATGTGACTAGCTCAAGAGCACCCAGTGGGATGGTGACAGAGCCAAGACTACCTCATAGGTGCCTTACCCGCAGGAGCGCTCTGCTCGCCACACCCAGCTCTCTGCCTTCTCCTCGCTGTCCTTAAGCACTTCCTGCACAGAGTGCCTCCATTTATCAACTGTAACATATGAGTAATGAGAACAACAGTGGCGCCCCATTGCTCAGTCATTACAGCGTGAGGGGCCCTGTGCGGAGGACCTCACACATCATCTACCTGAACCTCCAATCTCCCCATGTTCTTATAAGGCTGGGTAGCAGTGTTGTCCCCATTTTCCAGGTGAGAAAACTGGCACAGGGAGGCAAAGCCAGTTGTCTAAAGTCTCGTGGCTAGTAATTGGTGGAGTGGGGACTTGAACCGGAACTCCACCTTCTTGATGCTACGAAACCTCAGGACCTAGGACCTGGTGTGTGCCCCAGAGGTCAGAGTGGCTCCCAGCGGGCATCAGGCAGGAAGCTGGTGATGGAGATTTGGGGTGTTGAGCTGTGCTGTTGGGGTCTCCGCAGACAACAAGCTGAAGGAGCTTCCAGACACCCTGGGGGAGCTTCGAAGCCTGCGTACCCTCAACATCAGTGGAAACGAGATCCAGAGGTTGCCGCAGATGCTGGCTCACGTTCGAACCCTGGAGGTAAATGGGAAGCTGTTTTTGCCTGGGGTGCTCTCTGGCCTGCCCACCTCCCCTCTCCCACATTACTGAGTGCCTGCCCTGATCTCACGGTGCCAGGATCACACAGAGATCCCAAGGCATGGTCCTTGGAAGCTTGTAGAGAGACCAATGTGTGAACATTCGTAATTATATGACTTTTGCTGCCATAATAGAGGCAGAAAAACATACATTAAGAAAGAAGAAGAAAGAAAGCTGAATCCAGAAGAGGCTGACACTTTAAGAAAGTTGTCGGTGGGGGAACAACACACACTGAGGCCTGTCAGAGCGGGCTTGTGGGGAGAGCATCAGGAAGAAAAGCTAATGAATGCTGGGCTTAGTACCTGGGTGATGGGATGATCTGTGCAGCAAACCACCATGGCACATGTTTACCTTTGTAACAAAACTGCACATCCTACACATGTACTCCTGAACTTAAAATAAAAGTTACAGGAGAAAAAAAAAAAAGTTGTGATATTCAAGCCAGACCTTGAAGGAGGAATAAGATTTCTGGGCTGGGTGCCATGGCTCACACCTGTAATCCTAGCACTTTGGGAGGCCAAAGTGGGTGGATCACTTGAGGTTAGGAGTTCGAGACCAGCCTGGCCAACATGGTGAAACCCTGTCTCTACTAAAAATACAAAAAATTATCCAGGCATGGTGGCACACACCTGTAATCCCAGCTACTTGGGGGAGGCTGAGACAGGAGAATTGCTTGAACCCAGGAGGCGGCGATTGCAGTGAGCCAAGATTGCACCATTGCACTCCAGCCTGGGCAGCAAAGCAAGACTTCGTCTCCAAAAAAAAAAAAAAGATTCTGAGCAGACCTGGATAACAGGGGCAGCCCAGGTGCAGGAGGCAGGTGGTGGGAAGCACAGGTTGTCTCAGGGAGGGGCGGGGAAGTGATGTGGTTGGAAGCTGCTGAGCCTGTGTGATACGGGGCCCAGAAAGCCGGGAGGGAGAAAAGGAGGTAGGGAGCTGTCGGGATGCGGGTTCAGAATTACCCAGGCCAGGGGAGTTCTACAGGCTAGAAGTCCAAGTTCAAGGTGTTGGCAGGGCTGGTGACTTCTGAGGCCTCTCTCCTTGGCTCGGAGGTGCTGTCTTCCCTCCCTGTGTCTTCACTTCATCTTCCCTGTGTACATGTCCGTGTCCAAATTTCCTCCTCTTAGAAGCACACCAGTCATATTGGATTAGGGCCCAGCCTAATGACCCCCTTTTAACTTAATTACCTCTTTAAAGATGCTATCTCCACATACAGCCACATTCTGAGGGACGGGGGATTAGGATTTCCACATAGGAACTTGGGAGGGGGACACAGTTCAGCCTATGACAGACACTGACAGGGGCCGCTGCTCAGGGAAAGTGGCTCTCACAGTCGTGCTGATGAGGTGGCTCACCTTCATCTGGGGCTTTCTAAGACTGGGCATAACCTGGAATCGCTCCATGAATCATCACAGAACTCTTGTGAGGCAGATACTATTGTGCTACTTTGTAGATGAAGAAACTGAGGCACGGGCAGTTTAAGAAACTTGCCCAAGGGCCACGCAGTCACTGACAGCAGAGATGGTTGTAAACCAGGCCATCTGAAGCTGATGCCTGTGCTCCCCACCCCTGAACAACTCGGCTTCTGGAACGCGGACTTCTCCATTCATGGTGGCACGCAGTCTGGCCAGCGTTCCGGAGTGGCCTGGAGTTGACCCCGCTCTCAGCCAGCCCAGCCTGCCGAGCAGAGGCTTCTGTGTCAGAATGTGTGGGTGAGCACAGAGGTAGCACAGGAAGGACTGACCTTAGCAGCTGGGGCCCTCCTGCCTGAGGAAGGGCCGGCTGGGGAGACGGGCCAACATGGCTTGTCCTCTCTGCTGCCCACTGGAACCTTCTGCAGTGACAGAAATGTTCAGTGACTGTGCTGTCTAGAGCAGCAGCCGCTGGCCATGTGTATCTATCGAGCACCTGGAATGTGGCTTGTGTGTTCAGCCAGGAACTAAAAGTTTGATTTCGTTGAATTTTAATTAATTTATATTTAAATAGCCATGGGTCCTTGGTGGCTACCATTTTAGACAACACAGCTCAGAGCACGTTCCCAATCCTGAAGCCATCCTCGACATCTAGTAGGAGTTCTGGACACTTCAATTTTTTTTTTTCTTTGAGACAGGGCCTCATGCTGTCACCCAGGCTGAAGTGCAGTGACTCAGTCGTAGCTCACTGCAGCCTCAAACTCCTGGGCTCAAGAGATCCTCCTCCTCAGCCTCCCAAGAAATTGGAACCACAGGTGTACCCTATCACACTTGACTAATTTTTTTATTTTTCATAGAGATGAGGTCCCACGATGTTGCCCAGGCTGGTCTCAAAGTCTTGGGCTTAAGCAATCTTCCCGCCTTGCCTCCCAAGTGGGTGGGATTACAGGCGTGAGCCACCGCACCCAACGTAGACACTTCATTTTATTTTGATTCCATAAAAAAAAATCTTTTGAGTTTCTTGGTGGCAACTCGGACAAACCTTTTAGGGTGAGATAACCATTCTGAGTTCAGGCCATACTGTGGGCAAGATCTTCTTCAGGTGTCACCCATACCGCCTACCAAACAGCTCACCAGGTCAGTAATACTGCCTGTTTGGCTATGAGGGGACCACAGCCCTGGGACGCTAAGGGGCCTGATCAAGCAAACACACGGCCAGCATGCGATGGGCCAGGATCTGAAGCCACAGCGGTGTCTGTGGCACAGCAGTGTCCAGTCACTGCTCCTGCTGCCCACTATGAGAATGCTCTATCATCTGTGCAGCTAACAGGGCCACCCTGGCTACTTGTAGCTGCTGGGCCCTTGAAATGTGGTGACTGCAACCAACCATGGACCCAAACTTTAAATCAGATTTATTTTCAGTTAATTAAAATGTAACCGTAAATGGCCACACGTGGCTTGTAGCCAGCATCCTGGTATAGCCCAGAGTCTGTGCCCTTAAGCCACCTCGCTTTACTGATGGTGGCTAAGAGCACCCATGTGGGGTTTATTTGCTTCCTGGTATGGGGGTTTCTGCTGTTGGGCCCTCAGCATCTGGGCGGTCAGTTCCTCTTTCCTGGGGCAGTCTCCCACTCCCCCGTGCAAAGCACGTTCACTCAACACCCACCGTGTGCGGGCTGGGCTGGCCAGGGCTGGGGCACCTGAGCCACCCTTCCCACCCAGCCACTTGTGCTACAGCAAAATCAGAGCTTCCCAGGCCTTCTCCTTTTCCAGAACTCCCCTGATACCCAGGCATAGAGGATATCAGTGCCTGCCAGCACTCGGTGGGATCGGAGGGCCTATGGGAAGTCAGAGTTTGGCAGGGGGAGGGCTGGGTCCAACACAACTCACACCGCGGACGGAGCAGTTCTGTGGCTGTGAGCTGAGGCCCCTGCTTCCTGGGCTTCATAAACACGGAGGCATCTGCCTGTGTGCGCCAATAAACATTTGTCATTACATAATTTAAAATTCATACTGTATATTGTAAAAAAAAAAAAATGCAAATATTAAGAAACATTTCTGCCAGGCATAGTGGCTCAAGCTTGTAACCCTAGCATTTTGGGAGGACGAGGTGGGTGGATCACTTGAGGTCAGGAGTTCAAGACCAGCCTGGCCAACATGGCGAAACCCCATCTCTACTAATTTAACAAAAATTAGCTGGGTATGGTGGTGCGCGCCTATAGTTCCAGCTGCTCAGGAGGCTGAGGCAGGAGAATTGCTTGAACCGGGAAGGCAGAGGTTGTAGTGAGCCGAGATCATACCACTGCACTCTAGCCTGGGCCACAGAGCAAGACTTTGTTTCAAAAAATAATAATAATACCCCGTCTCTACTAAAAAATACAAAAAATTAGCCGGGCATGGTGGCGGGCGCCTGTAGTCCCAGCTACTCGGGAGGTTGAGGCAGGAGAATGGCGTGAACCTGGGAGGCGGAGCTTGCAGTGAGCGGAGATCGCGCCACTGCACTCCAGCCTGGGCAACTGAGACTCCGTCTCAAAAAAAAAAAAAATAAATAATAATAATAATAGTAGCATTTCATGTAGATAGTAACCCAGAATCTCCTTTTCGAGGAAACCACTTTGAGTTTGATATATATTCCTCCAATTTTTTTCTATAAAATATTAATGTGAAAGTATATGAATGTATTATCTAACAAAGGAAGAATCATATATATATATATATTTTTTTTTAATAGAGTTGGGGTCTTGCTATGTTGCCCAGGCTGGTCTCGAACTCCTGGGCTCAAGTGATCCTCCCACCTTGGCCTCCCAAAGTGCTGGGATTACAGGCATGAGCCACTGCACCCAGCCAGTGGAATCATATGCTATATGCTATCCTATAACTTCTTTTTTTTCACTCACTTATGTATTTATCCAAAGTGAACTGAGAGGCCGGGTGCATGACTCACACTGTAATTCCAGCACTTTGGGAGGCGGGCGAATTGCTTGGGTCCAAAACTTTGAGACCAGCCTGGGCAACATAGTAGGACCTTACCTCTACAAAAAAATACAAGAGTTAGGCATGGTGCTGCGTGCATATAGTCCCAGCTACTCAGGAGGCTGAAGTGGGAGGATCGCTTAAACCTGGGGAGGTCGAGACTGCAGTGGTCATGCCACTGCACTCCAGTCTGGGCGATGGGAGGGAGAACTTGTCTTAGAAAAATGTAAAAAAGTGCTTGCTTCTGTTGTACCCAAGCGAGTTATAGAGAAACGCCACACTTGAGACAAATTAAGGAGTCCTTTATTAGCCAGCTACCAAGAGGCGGCTAATGCTGAAAATTCTCTTGGCCCTGAGGAAGGGGCTAGTTTTGTGTTTATACCATGGTCTAAATAGGGGAGGAGGAAGTTTAGCTGAAGCAATTTTTACAGAAGCAGAACTGTCAAAAAGTTAAAAAATTAATTGGTTACAAAAGCAGTTACAAAAAATAAGCAGTTCCAGGTGCAGGGGCTTAAACTATCACAGAGAGATAAATGCCGGGGCTTTGTGTGTCATCCACCGCGCGGGCCTCCCCAGGAGCTGCTGGTGCAGCTTGCCTCTATATCTTATCAGTAAGTGCGTTCCTACATGTGCTTTGAGTCAGTTTACACTAGTTATGCCCTTAAGGGAGGGAGGTAAAAGGGGCTGCAGGTGAAGAAACTGAAATGGAGTCTGTCCGGCTCTCTCTCTGCTAGGAGAGTCACTCCGGTTAAAACAAGGTAGGGTATCACACTGCCTGCCTGCAGTCATCCCAGGCACTAGGAATGCAGCTGTAAGTAACAAGATAGCTCAGTCACCTCTGCTCTCAGGCCATGCCTGCTGGGTGGAGGCGACAGAGGACACACAAATTGGTAAGGAAATCGTGTGGTCTCTGGTTGCACTGGTAGTGAACTGCACAGTAAAGCGGGTTCCCCTTGTGTCTGCAGATGCTGAGCCTCGATGCCTCGGCCATGGTCTACCCGCCGCGGGAGGTGTGTGGTGCCGGCACCGCGGCCATCCTGCAGTTCCTCTGCAAAGGTAAAGCCAGGCCACCGCCTCCTCCCCTCACTGAGGAACCATGACCCCCACGGCCACCCTGTGCCAGCCCAGGCTGGGGAACAGCAGAGACAGAAAGAAATGGCCACAGTGCCTACCTGTTTGGAGTTCGAGGTCTGGCAACGGAAGCAGGCAAAACACGCGATTAGACAGGGAAAGAGTTTCAGACTGTGGTTATGGGAGTACAGTGGCGCGGCTGATATATTTTGGGGCCATGGGGAAGGCCTGTCTTTGAGAGTGTGGCTCCACTGACACGGAGTCATGGTTAAGATTTAGAAAAAAGCAGAAAGCTGTTCCGCCAGCAGATGCATATGGAAGGGCCTTGATGGGAAGTTTGACAGAGAGAGGGCCAGTGTAGCTGGAGTGAGGAAGCAGAGAGAAAAGAGATGGGGGAAGCCAAAGACCGTGCCCGGGCCCAGTGTCCACTGGGAGAGCATGTAATCAGTCATTAGGCTGCAGGGAGGAGAAGGGATTGGAGGAGGAAAGAAAGAGTGCAGGAGGGGACCAGTTAGGAGGCTGTCAGGTCATCCAGGAGAGAGATGCACAGCAGAAGGAGCTAAAACCCGAAGCCAGCACTGGCGGGAGGCGGGAGGAGAGCAGGATGCCCTGTCAGGCCGGAAGTTCTCAGTGGTTCTGGTCACCTGTGGGACTTTCAGAACGCAACCAAGACACACATGCACACATGCCTACGATAACCTGACTTATCGTGGCCATTGCAAAACAGTGGGGAAGGATGGTCTTTTCAATAGCTGATTCTGGATCAACTGAATGTCCCTGTGGAAAAAATGAACTTTAACCTCTTCCTTAAACAGGAGGCAGGCAGTACTCATTATAAAAGATTGGTACATTAGATTTAATTAAGGCCAGACATGGTGGCTTGCGCTGTAATCCCAGCTCTATGGGAGGCCAAGGCAGGAGGATCTAGAGCCCAGGAGTTTGAGACCAGCTTAGGCAACATGGTGAAACCCTGTCTCTACAAAAAAAAAAAAATACAAAAATCAGCCAGGCGTGGTGGCGTATGCCTGTGTTCCCAGCTACTTGGGAGAGTGAGGTGGAAGGATCACTTGAGCCTGAGCTGTGATGATGCCACTGCACTCCAGCCTGGAGCAAGACTCCAACAGAGCGATACCCTATCTCAAAAACAAAAACAAACAAATAAAAAAAAATGGTTTGATTAAAATATAATTTCTCTTCCTCAAAAGATACCATTTAGGGAAAGAAAAGCAAAGCCATAAAGTTAGAGATGATATTTGCAATACATATATATCCAACAGAGGACTGGGATCTGGACTATAAACAGAAATCCTACAGATCCACGAGGAAGACATTAGCAAAAGACTTGACTAAGAATTTTTACAAGAGAATGTCCACACAGTGGCTCGCACCTGTAATCCCAGCACTTTGGGAGGCTGAGGTGGGCAGATAACCTGAGGTCAGGAGTTTGAGACCAGCCTGGTCAACATGGTAAAACTCCGTCTCTACTAAAAATACAAAAACTAACTGGGCATGGTGGCAGGCACCTGTAATCCCAGCTACTTAGGAGGCTGAGGCAGGATAATCGCTTGAACCTGGGAGGCGGAGGTTGCAGTGAGCTGAGATTGTGCCACTGTGCTCCAGTCTGGGTGACAGAGCAAAATTCTATCTCAAAAAGAAAAAAAAAGAGAGAGAGATGAGATACAGATAACGAACAGTATCTGAAAAAAGTGCACAACATCATCTTAATCAATGGGAAAATGCAAATTAAAACTGCAGAGAGTTACTTCGACACACCCACTAAAATGGCCAAAAGTTTTCAATGGAAAAAAAAAACACAAACTTCCTGCTAACAAGTCAACCAAAAATAAAAAACAAAAAATAGGCCTGACGCGGTGGCTCACACCTGTAATCCCAGCACTTTGGGAGGCCGAGACGGGCGGATCATGAGGTCAGGAGATCAAGACCATCCTGGCTAACATGGTGAAACCCCATCTCTACTAAAAAAATACAAAAAACTAGCCAGGCGAGGTGGCGGGCGCCTGTAGTCCCAGCTACTCGGGAGGCTGAGGCAGGAGAATGGCGTAAACCCGGGAGGCGGAGCTTGCAGTGAGCTGAGATACGGCCACTGCACTCCAGCCTGGGCGACAGAACGAGACTCCGTCTCAAAAAAAAAAAAAAAAAGTTTAATTTACTCACAGTTTCACATGGCCGGGGAGGCCTCAGGAAACTTACAATCATGGCAGAAGGTACCTCTTCACAGGGCAGCAGGAGAGAGAATGAGTGCCAAGTGAAGAGGGAATCGCCTTATAAAACCCTCAGATCTCATGAGAACTCACCCACCGCCATGAGAACAGCATGGGGGAACTGCCCCCATGATCTAATCACCTCCCTCAAGGTCCCGCCCCCAACACGTGGGGATTAGACGTCAGACATTTAGGCGGGGACACAGGGCCAGACCATATCAATGCCCAACAGAGACGCACATGAATAAATGCCAAAAGCCATGTGCAAAAATGTTCCTAGCAGCACTATTTATACCAGTCCAAACTGGAAACAGCTTTAATGTCCATCAGGAGTAGAATGGATAACTAGACTGTTTTATACTCGTGTGGATACCACACAGCAAGTGGAAAGAATGAGCCACTGCTCCTTCCAACAACCTAGATGAGTCTCACAAACAATGTGGAGTGCAAGGAGCCAGACACAAAGGAATACGTGCTCATGTCAGTCACCACAGAGCTTTGAACCAGCACTGGTTCCTGGTCATGAGAGTGTGTTCACCTTTAAACATTCATCAAGCTCTGCGTTCTGTGCTCTCGGTTGGCCCAAAGGCAATGAGTTATCTCGATTGATTGCTCACAGTCAATTACAGATTTAAGTCCTTGTTCTACTCGTTCCCCTCTTCTCACCGCTGCACTTGACTAATCTTAAAAAAGAGAGAGAGAGAGAAAGATTTTGTGCTGTCTTCTTTATGTATGTTATATTTTACTTTAAAAGAAAGTGGAGAGGGTTGGCTACAGTCATAGCCACCAGCCCGCACATATGCAAATCAGAGTCTTCAAGCAACAGGTGATTCCAATGTACACCCTGGTCAGTGGCTGAGTTAGCTAGACCAAAGCCTTTATTTTCTTTAAAACGGTTTTGGGGCTGAACAAGGTGGCTCACACCTGTAATCCCAACATTTTGGGAGGCCAAGGTGGGTGGATCGCTTGAGCCCAGGAGTTCAACATGAGCAACATGGCAAAACTTCATCTCTATAAAAAATGCAAAAATTATCCCAGCTTGGTGGCACACCTGTAACGCCAGCTGCTCAGGAGGCTTAGGTGGGAGGTTCGCTTGAGCCTAAGAAGCGGAGATTGCAGTGAGCCAAGATTGCGCCACTGCACTCCAGCCCGGGTGACAGAGACCTTGTGTTTAACAAAAAAAAAAAAAAAAAGGATTTTGGGCCAGGCGTGGTGACTCACGCCTGTAATCCCAGCACTTTGGGAGGCCGAGGCGGGTGGATCACCTGAGGTCGGGAGTTCCAGACCAGCCTGACCAACATGGAGAAACCCCGTCTCTACTAAAAATACAAAAACTAGCTGAGCATGGTGACACATGCCTGTAATCTCAGCCACTCAGGAGGCTGAGGCAGGAGAATCACTTGAACCCAGGAGGTGGAGGTTGCAGTGAACTGAGAATGCGCCATTGCACTGCAGCCTGGGCAACAAGAGCAAAACTCTGTCTCAAAAAAAAAAAAAGAGAGAGATTTTGACTGAGCACGGTGGCTCATGCCTGTAATCCCAGCACTTTGGGAGGCCCAGGCGAGTGGATCACTTGAGGTCAGGAGTTCCAGACCAGCGTGGCCAACATGAAACCCCATCTCTACTAAAGATACAAAAATGCGCGGTGGTGGGCACCAGCTACTCACAAGGCTAAGGCAGGAGAATTGCTTGAACCCAGGAGGTGGAGTTCAAGGGAGGTGGAATGAACGCCACTGCTCTCCAGCCTGGGTGATAGAGTGAGACTCCTTCTCAAAAAAAAAAAAATGAAATTATGCAATATTTAGATATATGCTAGTCATAAAGAATAAAGGAGTGAACGTATGTATACCTACTACACAGCTTGAGAAGTAATTTTTCTTTTTTCTTTGTTTTTTTTTTTTTTTTTGAGATGGAGTCTCGCTCTGTCACCCAGGCTGGAGTGCAGTGGCAAGATCTCGGCTCACTGCAGCCACCGTCCCTCCGGGTTGAAGCCTTCCATCTTAGCCTTCTGAGTAGCTGGGATTACAGGCGCCTGCCACCATGCCTGGCTAATTTTTGTATTTTTAGTAGAGACAGGGTTTCGCCATGTTCACCAGGCTGGTCTTGTATTCTTGACCTAAGGTGATCCCCCCGCCTCGACCTCCCAAAGTGCTGGGATTACAGGCGTCAGCCACCACACCCAGCAAGAAATAAATTTTTTTTTTTTTTGAGACAGAGTCTCGGTGTCACCCAGGCTGGGTGCAGTGGCACAATCTTGGCTCACTGCAACCTCCGCCTCCCAAGTTCAAGCGATTCTCCTGCCTCAGCCTCCTGAGTAGCTGGGATTACAGGTGTGTGCCACCACGCAGCTAATTTTTGTATTTTTAGTACAAAAATATTGTACTAAATGTTGGTCAGGCTGGTCTTGAACTCCTGACTTCGTGATCCACCTGCCTCAGCCTCCCAAAGTGCGGGGATTACAGGCGTGAGCCACCATGCCTGGCCAAGAAATAATTTTTCAATTTACCTAAACTATGTAGAAGTATATATATATGTGTATGTGTGTGTGTGTGTGTGTGTGTGTGTGTATATATATATATATATATAATTTGTTTTTTGACCTTTTTAAAAACATTAAAGAGGCCAGGCGTGGTAGCTCACGCCTGTAATCCCATAACTTTGGGAGACCAAGACGGGCGGATCTCCTGAGGTCAGGAGTTCGAGACCAGCCTGACCAACCATGCCGAAACCCTGTCTCTACTAAAAATGCAAAATTAACTGGGCGTGGTAGCGCATGCCTATAATCCCAGCTACTTGGGAGGCTGAGGCAGGAGAATCGCTTGAACCCGGGAGACGGAGGTTACAGTGAGCAGAGATCACACCACTACACTCCAGCCCGGTGACAGAGCAAGACTCCATCTCAAAAAATGAAAATAAATAAATAAAAATAAAAATAGACATTAAAGAAACCATTAAAGATATCATATGATGTGATTCTATGCCTTGCTTTTTTTTTCTCTCAAGAAAAGTCTTGGGTATTTTCTGGTCTCATAATATGGTTTGAATGTCCCCTTAAACTGGTCACAGGATTTCATGTGGTGGTGCCAGTAGCTTCGTAGCCATCCCTGTGGTGAACACGGAGGGCATTTCCAGTTTCCTGCTGTTCTGAACATTTGAACTGACACCTCTCTGTCACTGTGTGCACTTTCCCCTAGGGTGGATGAGAGGGCACGAGCACCCCAGGGTGCCTGGGAAGAGGTCCCACCTGTGTCCGTCCCATGAGGAGTGGCTGGGAGGACCTTTTTCCCCCATCACAACCTGCATAACACACAGTATTATCTTAAAGACTCTGCTAATTGGACGGATAACAAGAGAGCCCATTATTATTCTAATGTCACTTCCTTGATTCTGTGAATATTTTTCATATGTATTCTGCCCATTTTTAGTATTTCTTGTGACCTGACTCTATCCTTCCCATGAGGAGAAAATGATAACTTTGAGTACATCAAAACTTACAACTTGTTTACCCCGGAAGGACACCATCATCAAAGTTAGAAGACCAGTTATCACCTAGAAGAAGACAGTTACAACATATTATAGACGTAAGGTTATTAACTACAATATATAAAGAGCACCTACAAATCAACGGGAAAAAGACAAACAGCCAAATAGGAAGTGGGTCTAAGGTATGAACCCTTTGGAATTTTACAGGCAAAACAATACACGGCCAGAAAAGGAAAGCATCTTGCCCAAGGTCTCACATTCAGGGAATTATTGGTAGAGCTGGATCTAGGACCCAGGTTTCACTTCTTATCTCAGGCTTTTTCATCACCTCATTCTCACTTGAGTGGAAGGTGTAGCCAGTACCCATTGACTCACTCTGCTGACATTTGCTGGGCACCTGCCACATTCCAGGCCCAGGGCTAGGACCGGTGAAAACCACAGAGCGCCCAGGCTAGGGAAGAGGAGAGCAGTGGCTAAGTCAGGGCGGGGCCGGCTGCCCTGGCAGTGGGAGCGGGTGTCTCCGGGTACCTCAGCTGCCTCCTCCCTCCTGGTCAGCTTGTGTCTCCTCTCTTACAGAGTCAGGGCTGGAATACTACCCCCCTTCCCAGTACTTGCTGCCTGTTCTGGAGCAAGATGGAACCGAGAACTCTCGGGACAGCCCCGATGGGCCCACGGACAGATTCTCAAGGGAGGAATTAGAGTGGCAGGTAAGACAAGCCAGCCTGCTGCACGCATATGTGTGTGCGTGTGCATGTGCGTGCATGTGTGTGCGTGTGTGTGTGTGTGTTGAGGGAGCTGGGAATGGAAGGTGGGTGTGTGGTTCAGAGCTGCAGCTCCGGGATTCCTCCATAGAACTAGAACTGGCCTCCCGACGAGTTGAACTGCTTTTTCAAGGCCTGCTGTGGCAGCCTCATCCCACCAGCTTGCCAAGCACAAGCTGTGCCCTGCTGCTCTCTGTTCCCTGAAATAACCACGATCCTTCCCTCTTCAGGGCCTTTGAGTAAGCAGCTCCCTCTGTCTGGAATCTCCCCACTCACTTGTCTTATCCTTCAGTTCTTTTTTTTTTTTTTTTTTTCCCCTTTTTTTGAGACAGGGTCTTGCTGTGTCGCCCAGGCTGGAGTGCAGTGGTGCGATCATAGCTCACTGCAGCCTCAACCTCCCGGGCTCAAGTGATCCTCCCGCCTCAGACTCCCAAAGTGCTGGGATTATAGGCATGAGCCACCATGCTCAGCCTCCTTCAGTTCTCAGTTTAAACATTACATCCTCTGAGAAGCTCCAATCCAGGTCGGGTCTCCTGTTGTGTGTTCTCAGAGTGCCCTGCACAGTTCCTTGGTAGCACTTATCACAGTGCTAAATTGATGAGGAACTCTGGGAAATGATCTGTCTCATGTCTGTCTCCCATGCTGGATGAAGCTTTGTGAGAATAGGGATTGTGTCTGCAATATTCATTGCTCTCTCTCAGCAAATACTTCTGAACTAAATGCCACTCACTGTCTGGAACACACACCCACCATGCTCTGGGTCTAGTGGAGGAGTCAGACAGGCACATGTGTAAGCACCAGTGACGGGCTGGCCCTGTCAGGTCTGGCGATAAGCTAGCACAGGACGACATGGAGGAGGAAGCCCAAAGGGTTTGCCACATTAGCTTGGGTGTACCCTCTGCCCCCATCCCCAAGGCTCACGATCCCGGGTCCTCAGCTGGCTGGTAGATAGGGGAGGCCATCACCGGGCAGGAGTGCCAGCTGCCAGGCATGTGGCTTCATATCTTCCAGTGACTCTTAATCTCTGGTTCCTAGATGCCACCCTTTCCCGTTTTCCACTGCTGCTGGGAATGCTTTTGGGATTTTATTATTATTATTTTATAGTTCAACAAGAATTAGAGAGGGAGGAGAAGGCTGTATGGGAAAATTGTGCCAGTTCACGTTCTCAGAAAATATTTGCAACATAGTCACTTGCTAAAGGATTCAGAGATTGAACGTAGAAAGAACTCTTTCCAATCAGTAAGAAGAAAACCATCCCAATAGAAAAAAATATTGGAAGGCCGAGGCAGGTGGATCACTTGAGGCCAGGAGTTTGAGACCAGCTTGGTCAATGTAGTAAAACCCTGTCTCTACTGAAAATGCAAAACTTAGCCAGGCATGGTGGCGTGCACATGTAATCACAGCTACTCGGGAGGCTGAGGCACAAGCATCACTTGAATCCAGGAGGCAGCGGTTGAAGTGAGCCAAGATTGCGCCCCTGCACTCCAGCCTATCCAGGTGACAGAGTGAGACTCTGTCTCAACAAACATTTAAAAATGCCAACTTTGCTGGTAATCAGAGGAGAGGCATGTAAGTTAAAACAACATTGAAATACCATTTCCTTCCTCGAGACTGGCACACATTTTGACATGACAATTTCTGTTGGCCAGAGAGTGGGAAACAGGTGTCCTCATAAACTGCTCTTGGGAGTGAAAATTGATAATCACTACTTTGGAGGATAATTTGACAGTAGATGTCAAAAAAAATTTTTTTATTTTAATTTTTTTTTTGAGACGGAGTCCCACTCTGTTGCCCAGGCTGGAGTGCAGTGGTGCAATCTCGGCTCACTGCAGCCTCCACCTCCCGGATTCAAGCGATTCTCCAGCCTCAGCCTCCCAGGTAGCTGGGATTACAGGCACGCACCACCATGCCTGGCTAATTTTGTATTTTTAGTAGAGACAGGGTTTCACTATGTTGGCCAGGCTGGTCACAAACTCCTGACCTCAAGTGATCTGCCCACCTTGGCCTCCCAAAGTGCTGGGATTACAAGTGTGAACCACCACACCCTCCAGATGTCAAAAATTTTCATGGGCACAGCCCCTGATCCAGAAGTTCCGCTTCTCAATGTATACCCAAGAGAAATGCTTGCACGAGGAGACATTTGCAGGAGTGTTTATTGCAGCCTTATTTGTAGTATTGGATGCCCCCCAAATGTTTGTCAGTGGGAAGGGGCTGCCCCTGGATCATGTGCACACCATGAGATGGAGCATTTGAGCCTCGGCTCGCCGGGATGCATGGATTAGTGAAAAGGGCAGATTGCAGAACAGGATGGGCTAGTCTATTTCCATTCTTATGTTTAAAAAGAAAACTCAATCAACACCAGCCTGGGCAATGTGGCGAGACCCTGTCTCTACGAAAAATACAAAAAAATTAGCCAGGCATGGTGGCACGTGCCTGTGGCCCCAGCTACTAGGGAGGCTAAGGTGGGAGAATGGCTTAAGCCCAGGAGGTTGGAGTTTGTAGTGAGCCAAGATTACACCACTGCACCCCACGCTGGGTAACAGAGCTACCCTGTCTCAAAAAAGAAAAAGAAAACTCAAAACAAAAAAAGGAAGCAGATAGGTATTTGCCAGTGGCTGGAGTGGGAAGAAGACTTGATGATGAAGTGGCATGAGGGAATTTTCGAGGGTAATGGAATTGTTTTCTTTTTTCTTTTTGAGATAGTCTCTGTCGCCCAGGCTGGAGTGCAGTGGCATGACCTCAGCTCACTGCAACCTCTGCCTCTCAGGTTCAAGTGATTCTCCTGCCTTAACCTCCCGAGTCGCTTGGATTACAGGCGCCCGCCACCACGCCTGGATAAGTTTTGCCTTTTGTTAGTAGAGATGGGGTTTCACCATGCTGGCCAGTCTGGTCTCTATTAAAAATACAAAAAATCAGCCGGATGTGATGGTGGGTGCCTGTTTTCCCAGCTACTTAGGAGGCTGAGGCAGGAGAATTACTTGAACCCAGGAGGTGGAGGTTGCAGTGAGCCAAGACTGTGCCACTGCACTCCAGCTTGAGCAACAAGAGCAAAACTCCATCTCAAAAAAAAAAAACCTAACTCTTGTGTGTGTATGTATTGATGTTTAATTACATCAATAATTAATTAAACATCAATAATAGAATTGTTCCTTATAATAAATGTTGCTCCAACAATATACCTGCTCCTTATAATAAATTTAAACAATACAGACAATTACAAACCAAGTGAATGTCAGCCCTTCCACCCTGCACTCCCGTTGCCTGGAGGTAGTCATCGTTGACTGATTAATGACTGTCCTTTCCTGGCCTTTGACTCAATACATACACACATAGGCTCAGAGTTGAGTTTTCTTGATGATGTTTTTGCAAAAGTAGAATCGTGCTACATACAGGTGAGGGATCACACACATTCACCCCGTTGGCAGTTAAATAGTCCACTATATGGATGCACCATGACTTACGGACAGACGCTAATAGATGTGTGAGTTATTTCCAGTGTTTTTGCTCTTCTGAATAATTCTGCATGAAGTTGTCCCCACACCTTTGTGCATTGTGAATATTTTGGTGGACTGAAACTGGGTGCTGTAGGTGTGTTACGCAGACATCCATGGGCATCAGATATCCCATTTCCTGCTCTGCTCTTCAGACCGCCATCCCTGCTCAGGGCTGCATCCCAGGACTGTCTTGAAGACCCCCCTCCTATGGTGCCACGCACACAGTGGCAGCCCAGGGGTTCTCATCAGGTGTCCATTGGGACCACCTGGTGCCCTTGATCAATACGGATCCCCTCATCCCCTGACCCCACCATTCTGAGGCAGTAGTCTGGGGTGGGCCAGAGTCTGTAGAGTCTGTATAACATCAGGCCGCCCAGGGGTTCCTGGTGCCCATGCCAGGGAGAACCACTGCTGCCACCCTCTCTTGACCACTGTCTTTTTTTCCTCCCAGAACAGGTTCTCAGACTATGAGAAGAGGAAGGTAAGAAAATGCCTTTACCCTTCTGTCACTCTTTTCTCATTAAAGATCTCAAAGCAACTCAGAAAATATTTGAGAAAATGACTTCTTCCCAGCTCAGAATTAGAGGTCACAGTAATGCCTTCCTCTTACACGCAAGGTCTGCTGCATCCTCACGTGCCTCGGGTGGGTGGTAGAGCATCCATGGGACAGGTGCAGAGACTGAGGCTCAGAGGGATTGAGCCCAGCCCCAGGCTCTAGACCCCAGCCTCTTCCTGTTAACAGCTTGTTTTATTACAGTTGGGCCCTGGAAGGAGGGGAGTGGGGGTTGCTCAGCATGAAGACCTGGAACCTGTACTGTCAGTGTTGAGGGGTGGATTCTCCCTATTTCTATGTCCTAACTCCCCCAGGGCCTGTGCTGACAGTCACCAGGATCTGTGTCTTGCAGGAACAGAAGATGCTGGAGAAACTCGAGTTCGAACGGCGCCTGGAACTGGGGCAGCGGGAGCACGCCCAGCTCCTTCAGCAGAGCAGCAGCCAGAAGGATGAGATCCTTCAGACGGTCAAGGAGGTTTGTGAGCTGCCTGCTAGGGTCCAGCCTGGCTGCTCCCCCCAGCCAGTGGCCTCCTGGCTTGGGGCGAGGTCCCTGGGGTGTGGAAAGGCAGTGGGATGAAGCTGTCACTTCCTTCTGTCCCCCAGCACCTGGGAGGGCCCTTACCGATCACCCAGGCCAGCCTCCCCGTGTGCAGATGGACACTCTGAGGCCTGCCAGGAGGAGCTGGCCCGCGGCCACACAGAAAGGACTGGCAAGGCGGGGTGGAAAGACAGCCTCCTAACCCCAGTCAGTACCCTTCACAGCATCTGAGGGGGTCCCAGGGGCTCAGGACTCCCACCCCCTGCTGCAGGAGCAGTCCCGGCTGGAGCAGGGCCTGAGTGAGCACCAGCGCCACCTCGACGCAGAGCGGCAGCGGCTGCAGGAGCAGCTGAAGCAGACAGAACAGAACATCTCCAGCCGGATCCAGAAGCTGCTGCAGGAGAATCAGAGGTTGGGCTCTGCTCCTCGGCCCCAGCCCCAGAGTCCTTCCCCAGGCAGTCCCCTGAGGCGCCAGGAGGAGTGTGTTTCTCCGTCACCACCTCTGCTCTTGCCCCGGGCTTCCCTTGTCAGGATCCAGTCTGGGTGCTTCAACTGGCACCAGCGTACAGAGAAAAGAATCTGACCCAGGCATTACAAAGTCTGGTTTCTTAGCATGAGACTGCTACCAGATTGGACCTGTGGCCTCAGGCAAGTGCTTCCCCACTGGGTCCCAAGCTTCCCATCTATAAAGTGAGTGGGTTCGACTAGATAGTTGGGATCACATCTGCTCCAGTATTTTAGGTTCTACGTAACCCATTGCACTGAGGTCAGCTATTCACCTGTAGTGAGATTTGCCTTAACAAACTCTATGCACGGTAGGAGCTACTGAGAACAGATCTTGATGGGGCTGGGGAGACATGGTGCCAGAGAAGCCTAAGAAGTCTAGTGAGGGGGTCCATTGCAGGACCATTCCAGAAACAGGCTCTAGCCATATGCCCTGCTGCTTCCAGGCCTCCTTTTTCTAACCCTGAATCACTTGTTCCTCCATCACCTGTCAGTTTCACAGTACCTGCATGAGTTCAGGAAACCGGTCACTTGTTGGGTGCTTCTTATGTGCCAGCTTGTTACATCTATTTTCTCATTAACTCTACAAATTCACCAAGAAGCTGGGTTGTTTTTGTTTTGTTTTGTTTGAGACAGAGTCTTACTCTGTTACTGAGGCTGGAGTGCAGTGGTGCGATCTCGCCTCACTACAACTTCCTCCTCCCAGGTTCAGGGGATTCTCTTGCCTTAGCCTCCCAAGGAGCTGGGACTACAGGCTCAGCTATGAGATATCCCATTTCCTGCTCTGCTCTTCAGACCACAGCCACCACGCCTGGCTAATTTTTGTAGAGACAGGGTTTCTCCATGTTGACCAGGCTGGTCTCAAACTCCTGACCTCAAGTGATCTATCCACTTCAGCCTCCCAAAGTGCGGGGATTACAGATGTGAGCCACCGTGCCCAGCTGGGTTTTTTATTCTTCTAATTTCTTAGGTGAGGAAACCTGGGACTTGAGTGGTTTCAGTAACTGGCTGAGAACCCAGAGATCCTAGGTGGTGGAGCTAAGGGGCCCCCAGCCCATTTCCTAAGCCCCTCTGCACAGCCAGGGCAGTGAGACAGGAAACAGGCCTGCTGGGGACTGCCAGGACCTTTTATGATTTTCTCCACAGACAAAAGAAAAGCTCCGAGATTTTGAAATCGCTGGAAAATGAAAGGTAAGTGTTCTTCCAGGGGAGGGCAGGTTTTTTTTGTTTGTTTGTTTGTTTGTTTGTTTTTAGATGGAGTTTTACACTGTCGCCAGGCTGGAGTGCAGTGGCGCAATCTCAGCTCAATGCAACCCCCCGCCGCCCAGGTCCAAGCGATTCCCCTGTCTTAGCCTCCCGAGTAGCTGGGACTACAGGCGTGCACCACCACGCCCAGCTAATTTTTTGTATTTTAGTAGAGATGGGGTTTCACTATGGTGGCCAGGATGATCTTGATCTCTTGACCTCATGATCCGCCCTCCTTGGCCTCCCAAAGTGCTGGGATTACAGGCATGAGCCGCCGCGCCCAGCCAAGGAGGGCAGCTTTGAGGAGAGAATGTCTTGTGATTCTCCAGAGGATTGTACCAGGACATTTCCCTAAAGCTATAAGGAGATTCACCTCTTTAGAGGATATTTAATTACAAAGAATCATTCCCTTCAAGTTCATTAAAACATATGTAAACTCCTGAAAAACAGAGACATGAATAAGGCTATATTTATAATGTCCAACTATATTCCTAGTATAAAAAGTTCAGGCCAGGCGCAGTGGCTCACGTCTGTAATCCAGCACTTTGGGAGACCGAGGTGGGCAGATCACTTGAGGTCAGGAGTTCGAGACCATCCTGGCCAACATGGCAAAACCCTGTCTCTACTAAAAATCAAAACTTAGCCAGGAGTGGTGGCAGACGCCTGTAGTTCCAGGTTAAAAAAAAAAAAAATTCAGAAAAGAAATCTACATTTCTGGAAAGAAAAATTATTTAGTTATATAAATTATGTATGGAGGAATAACCTATAGCCATTAAATGTCTTATTGAATAACATTCCTCATTAAGGGAAAACATAACATATTGCTAATGGAAAAGTGACAGGCTATATTTAAAGCAGAATTTTTCGTATATCTTTTTTTTTTTGAGATGGAGTCTTGCTTCGTCGCCCAGGCTGGAGTGCAGTGGCACGGTCTCAGCTCACTGCAAGCTCCGCCTCCCAGGTTCACATCATTCTCCTGCCTCAGCCTCCTGAGTATCTGGGACTACAGGCGCCCACTACCATGCCTGGCTAATTTTTTTTTGCATTTTTAGTAGAGACGGGGTTTCACCGTGTTAGCCAGGATGGTCTCGATCTCCTGACCTCATGATCCGCCCGCCTCGGCCTCCCAAAGTGCTGCGCCCAGCAACTTTTTTTTTTTTTTTTTTTTTGAGACCGAGTCTCACTCTGTCACCCAGGCTGGAGTGCAGTGGCACAATCTCGGCTCACTGCAACCTCCAACTCCCTAGTTCAAGCGATTCTTCTGCCTCAGCGTCCCAAGTAGCTGGGACTACAGGTGCGGTGCCACCAGGCCCGGCTGATTTTGTATTTTTAGTAGAGATGGGGTTTCACCATGTTGGCCAAGCTGGTCTCAAACTCCTGACCTCAAGTCATCCGCCCGCCTCAGGCTCCCAAAGTGCTGAGATTACAGGTGTGAGCCACCGCACCCGGCCATGTGACTATTTTTGAAGGAAATATTTAAAGGACATTTTGCTAGGTGCCAGCTTACCGTCCCAAAAACATTCTGCCAGTTGACACTCCTCTCAGCAGGCTAGGAAAGTGCGCATTTCTCCACCATCATCACCTTCACCAGCACCAGCAGTTACCAGTTTTCTTCATCTCAACCAACCTAGTAGGTGAAAAGGTTTTACTTTCTTTAGTTACCAGTAATGTTAAGCATCTTTCCAGATGTTTATTGATCACTTGAATTTCAGCATTGGCTATTTGCTTCTTTTGCCCATTTTCTAAGGGAGTGTCCATCTTTTTACACAAGATACTCGAACTACAGGCTGAAGGTGAACAGGGCCCCAAGGGTTGCTTGTGATGTGTTAGGCATCCAGAGAGCTCATCCAGGTGTAGGTTGCCAAATCAAGGAGGCCTTCCTGGAGGAGGTGGTGTTCAGCTGCTGGGATTTCCTGTTGGAAATGTTAAATTTGCTGAATGAATGGACGGATTTTTTTCTAGAATAAGAATGGAACAGTTGATGTCCATAACCCAGGAGGAGACTGAGAACCTGCGGCGACGTGAGATTGCCTGTGAGTTTCGGGATGGGGAGCTCGTGAGCACGCTGCCTGCTGGCCGGGCTGGCAGGGTGGATGGCCCTCCCTCTCTTGGCCATGCATGGAGGGCATTGAGTGTTGGCCCTCGAGAGGGGCAGTCAAGTCCTGCCATAGAGCACAGGCTCTGGGGTCAGCCTAGACATGGATTCAGAGTCCCAGTTCAGACACCCACCATGTGACCTTAGGGACATAACTGCCCCCCACTTTTCCAAGCCTTGGTTTTCTTAGCTACAAAATGGAGGAAATGGGCCAGGTGTGGGGGCTCATGCCTGTAATCCCAGTGCTTTAGGAAGCCAAGGCTGGAGGATCACGTGAGCCCAGGAGTTCAAGGCTGCAGTGAGCTGTGATCACGCTACTGCACTCCAGCCTGGGTAACACAGCGAGACTGTTTCTCAAAAAAACAAAAAGAAAGTCCAAATGCTCCCAAATAGAGGATTATTTAAATAAATGTTGGTGATCCATGTGCTGTGGCGCTCTGGTATTAGCATCCCATTAACATGTTATCATGGGGAGTGTTCATAAAAAGTGGGAAGTGGGATGATACCATTTTCGTTTTTTTAATTGTAAAATATGCATCATGTAAAAGGTACTGTCTTAATCACTTTATTTTATTTTATTTTATTTATGTTTTGAGACAAAGCCTCGCCCTGTCGCTCAGGCTGGAGTACAGTGGTGTGCTCTTGGCTCACTGCAACCTCCGCCTCCCAGGTTTAAGCGATTCTCTGCCTCAGCCTCTGAGTAGCTGGGATCACAGACGCACACCACCACACCAGGCTAATTTTTGTATTTTTAGTAGAGATGGGGTTTTGCCACGTTGGCCAGGCTGGTCTTAAACTCCTTACCTCAAGTGATCTGCCTGCGTCAACCTCCTGAAGTGCTGGGATTACACGCGTGAGCCACTGTGCCCGGCCTTCATTTTAAAATAGATTAGTTCTGCGGCATTATTGTTGTACAGCTGCCAGCACCACCCATCGCCAGAACTTTTTCATCTTCCTCAACTGAAACTGTCCGTAGTAAACACTAACTCCCCATGCCCCCCTCCCCTCAGCCCCTGGGAATCAACATTCTACTTTCTGTGTATGGATTTGACTGTTATAGGTACCTCCTATATGTGGAATCATACAATATTTCTCCTTTTGTGTCTATCATATTTCACTTAGCATAATGTCCTCAGGTTCGTCCATGTTGTAGCATGTGTTTGAATTTCTTTCCCTTTTTTTTTTTTTCTATTTCTTTGTTTCTAAACACAAGCCCACCAGGGAAAAATGTTCTTCCTTTTCAATACTAAATAATGTTGCATTGCCTGTATATGCCACATTTTCTTTCTTTCTTTTTTTTTTTTCCTTGCTCTGTCACCAGGCTGGAGTGCAGTGGTGCGAACACGCTCACTGCAGCCTCCACCTCCTGGGCTCAAGCAATCCTCCCACTACAGCTTCCCAAGTAGTTGGGACTACAGACACACGACACCTCACCTGGCTAATTTTTTTCTTTTTTTAAAGAGATAGGGTCTCACTCTGTTGCCCAGGCCGGTCTCAAACTCCTGGGCTCAAGCAGTCCTCCCACCTTGGTCTCCCATAAGTGCTTAGATTACAGGTGTGAGCTGCCATGTCCAGTCTCTACATTTTCTTTATCCATTCATCTATCAATGGGTATTTGGGCTGTTTCCACTTTTTGACTGTTATGAATAATGCTACAAATTTGTGTGTACAAATATCTATTCTAGTCCTTTCTTTCAATTCTTTAATTTTAATTTTTTGATTTTTCTTTTTTTTTTTTTTTTTTTTTTGAGATAGGATCTCGCTCTGTTGCCCATGCTGGAGTGCAGTGGCATGATCTCAGCTCGCTGCAACCTCTGCCTCCTGGGTTCAAGCAATTCTCCTGCCTCAGACTCCCAAGTAGCTGAGATTACAGGCACCTGCCACCATGCCCAGCTAATTTTTGTATTTTTAGTAGAGACACAGTTTTGCCATCTTGGCCAGGCTGGTCTCGAACTCCTGACCTCAGGTGATCCACCTGCCTCAGCTTCCCAAAGTCCCGGGATTGCAGGCATGGGCCACCACGCCTGGCCTATTTTAATATTTTAAATTCCTAAACGCATAAAAATTGAGTAGAAGGATATATATCAAAATGGAATAATATTTCTGGATGACAAGATCACAGATGATTTTATGTATGTGCTATTCAGTGTTTTACAATTAGCCTTCCAAGCATATGTTGCTTTTATAATTAAAAAGAACAGGCGGGGCGCGGTGGCTCACACCTGTAATCCCAGCACTTTGGGAGGCCGAGGCAGGTGGATCACGAGGTCAAGAGATCGAGACCATCCTGGCTAACATGGTGAAACCCTGTCTCTATTAATAATACAAAAAACTAGCTGGATGTGGTGGTGGGCCCCTGTAGTCCCAGCTACTCGGGAGGCTGAGGCAGGAGAATGGGGTGAACCCAGGAGGGAGAGCTTGCAGTGAGCCGAGATTACGCCACTGCACTCCAGCCTGGGCAACAGTATGAGACTCTATCTCAAAAAGAAAAAAGAAAAAGAAAAGAACAAAGGGTTTTTTAAGGTGACTGTCAGGTAGGTAACCAGGTGAGGCCTCAAGGAGGCCTCTTCCTCAGTTCCCGTGGAAATCCCTGCTGCATCCCTGCCCAAGTGCCCCAGGAACAGCCACCCCACTCAGCTGTCCCCACCTCATGTTCCCGCAGCCGCCATGCAGCAGATGCTGACGGAGAGCTGTAAGAACCGGCTCATCCAGATGGCCTATGAATCTCAGAGGCAGAACTTGGTCCAGCAGGCCTGTTCCAGGTAAGGTAAGGAAGAGGAGTCCCAGGTGAGGGAGTTGGGGGAGCTGGCTTGGGGCCCAAGACCGTGGGATGAGAGCTGGGCACTAAACCTCCTGCCCTGGTCCACCCCAGCCTCCTATCTGCCATTAGGGGCAAGTGATGGCTGCTCTTCTTGAGTTTTCTAGCTGGATCCATGATTCAGCATTGGACTGCGTTAAAGTAGTAACAGTCACTCCCATTTCTTGTGCACCCCCTGTGTGGCAGGCACTCAGCTAAGCGATGACCCGCACTTGCTGACTGATTCTAGGATGGACTGTATTGTTATTAACCCCATTTTACAATTGCAACTCAGGTTCTGAGAAACTGTATAACACACCCAAGGAAGCACAGCCAGCAGGTGGTGGAGCCAGGATTTGTTTGAGCCCAGCAGAGGGGAGGGGTGTGCTCTTGACTGTGGTACACTCGTTAGTGTCCGAGGACTCCCACGGTTGGGAGTGGGATGCCCTGGAGGGATAAGCGAAGGGGTTGCTTTCATGCTGATGGCCTCTCTGGGGTCCGGCTCCCTGTGCTCACTGTGGCACTGTGGGTTTGTTGGAGGTTCCACAGGCACCCAGCAGAGCCAGTGGGGAAAACTCAGTCCGTGCTCAGGATCCCCAGACAGGGACAGGCCAGCAGCCCTGGATGCCTGTTTCTCCTCCCATGCAGGTGGCTGGCACAGCTGCCACCCTCCAGGGCACCTGAACTGTGCCAGCCTCCTCTGGGTCCCTGCAGATGTGGGAATTTCTCACCCGTTTCCTTATACATGACACTGTGCTTAGGAGTTGCAAGCACAGGGGTCAAACAGACCTGGATCCGGGTCCCACTTCTCCTTACTAACCATGAGGTCTCAGGGGAGTCTCTTTCCTTCCCTGGGCTTCAAATTCCTTATCAGATAAATCATAGTACCTACCCCTAGAGTTGGTGGAGGATTTGATGAGTGTTAATGAGCATGATGTCTAGTGCATAAAGGTCCAATAAATACTTGCTATTGTTGTGAAGCAGGGACCTCACTGGAAAAAAAATAATTGCTATTATGAAATAAACAAAACCAAGATGGTGGCTGGGTGCAGTGGCTCACACCTGTAATCCCAGCACTTTAGGAGGCCGAGGTGGGTGGATCACCTGAGGTCAGGAGTTTGAGACCAGCCTGGCCAACATGGTAAAAACCCGTCTCTACTAAAAATACAAAAAAATAGCCAAACGTGGCAGTGGGCGCCTATAATCCCAGCTACTTGGGAGGCTGAGGCAGGATAATTGCTTGAACCTGGGAGGTAGAGGCTGCAGTGAGCCAAGATCATACCACTGCACTGCACTCCAGCCTGGGTGACAGTAAGACTCCATCTCAAAAAAAAAAAAAAAAAAACAAGATGGTACCAAAGCACAGACATACTTGAGGCTGCAGGTTCTTGTGCCCAAATCAAGGGCTGCTCCCTGCTTCCTGCCCAGGGTGAAAATGCCAGGAAGGACAGTTTTGTCACACTTCAGTGGCTCACCACCCTTGGGAGTCAGGAGCTCCCCACCCATGGAGGTGGCTGGGCAGAGGCCAGGCATCCATTTCGGGGGGTGCTGTGGAGGGGATTCTGGTGGAGGGTTGGGTGAGAGGACCTGGAAGCGTCTCTCTCCCAGCTCCCGACTCGATCCCCTTCCCTCCAGGGCATGGGATTCAGACAGACTCGATGTCTGTGCCCCACCCAGGGCCCGGCTCCCAGCAGGTACTCCATGAGTGTGGTCCCGTGAAGAAATGGGTTATCTTGATCCCCTCCAAGGTGCCTGGCACATAGTAGGTGCTCAGGAAACATTCCAAGAATGAATGAATCTGTTGTCTTTCTGGCAGCATGGCCGAAATGGATGAACGATTCCAGCAGATTCTGTCGTGGCAGCAAATGGATCAGAACAAAGCCATCAGCCAGATCCTGCAGGAGGTGGGTCCTCGCCCAGGGCCTGAGGGCGGGGGCTCAGGAGGGAGGTTCAGGAGCCAGGACAGAGCGCTGAGCTCTACACAGAGCCCTTCCTAGACAGCGTGTGGGACCCCAGAGGTTTGTGACCATAGAAGTGTACAAGTGATCAGGGTGAGGGGTAGAGAGAGGCCGAGGGGGGACCCGGGGGATGGTCTTCTGGTCATTAAAATCCAGAGAAGCACCTCCACCTGCTCCCTGGGAGGCTCCCACCTCCATCCTGTGTAGAAGGCTCCATTGGAAGGACCTAAGTGGCAGGAGGTGATGGTGACCACACCATGGAGGTCAGGCCACAGAGGACGCTGTGGGACCTCTGGCCTCTTCTCATGTCTAGACCTGCTGTGCTGCTGTCTGCTCTTCCACCTCTGCGGTGCTCGGGAGGTGCCTGGCAGGGCCCTTGAGTGGATGAAACAAAGGGCCCCGTGACTTCCTCCCCTTCAGTGTCCATATTACTCTGTTTAGTGTTTTTGTTTTCCTTTTTTGAGATGGAGTTTCGCTCTTGTTGCCCAGGTTGGAGTGCAGTGGTGTGATCTCAGCTCACTGCAACCTCTGTCTCCCAGGTTCAAGCGATTCTCCTGCCTCAGCCTCCCAAGTAGCTAGAATTACAGGCACCCACCACCACACCCAGCTAATTTTTGTATTTTTAGTAGAGACAGGGTTTTGCCACATTGGCCAGGCTGGTCTCAATGAACTCCTGACCACAGCTGATCCACCTGCCTTGGCCTCCCAAAGTGCTGGGTTTACAGTCATGAGACACCACGCCTGGCCTGTTTAGCTTTTTATTTTCCTTTTTTTTCTTCTCTTTTGTTTAAAGACAAGTTCTTGCTCTGTTGCCCAGGATGAGTGAAGTGATGTGATCACAGTTCACTGCAGCCTCAAACGCCTGGGCTCAAACAATCCTCCCACCTTTGCCTCCTGAGTAGCTGAGACTATAGGGCCACCATGCCCAGCTAATTTTTTTGATTTTTTGTAGAGACAGAGTCTCCCTGTGTTGCCCAGGCTGGTCTCAAACTCCTGGGCTCAAGCAGTCCTCCTGCCTCGGCCTCCCAAAGTGCTGGGATTACAGAGCTGAAAAGAGCCTGTTCAGCTCTTTCCTGCAGCCTCGTGGGGGTCTCGCCACTGCCTCCCTTCTTCCCTCCCCTTTCTCCCCTGTCCTCTGCGTGTTTGTCATCCCACCCTGCTCCTTTCTTCCTAATTGCAATCTCTGTTCTAAAATGGCTTGACTTAGTGTCTGTGGAGCTTGTCTGAGGAAAATCCTCCATTTCTCAGAGGAGGCATCTGCCTCGTGGTTAAGTGGGGCTCGGGAGCAGGATAGGCTTGGTGCGTGTCCCAGCGCCGCTGAGTCATGCCTCTCAGTGTCACTTTCCCCTTCTGTGAAACAGGGCAGTAAAAGCACCCACACGGTCCACTGTGGTGGAAATTCAGGGTGTGATGCCGGAAGTGCATCAAGTAGAGGCCAGCCCGAAGCGAGCCCCTCATATCATCCTAAGGTTTACACAAGTGAGGTGAAATCTCTCTCTCAGAAGAAAACCCATCCATTCAGGTGCTCTGGACACAGCTTTTGCTTTCCACAGAGATGGGCTGCAGGGAAAGGTGTGGGCACGCCCCTGCTGAGGGCTGGTGGTCTGTGTTGCAGAGTGCGATGCAGAAGGCTGCGTTCGAGGCACTCCAAGTGAAGAAGGACCTGATGCATCGGCAGATCAGGAGCCAGGTGAGCCCTGGGGCCGTGGTCCCTGGACCTGCCCTCTCAGAGACTTGCAGAGTAGCCCTCCAGGGCGGCAGGTCACAGCAGTTGAGGTTTGAACCCCAGCTCCTTGGCTTGCTAGCCCAGCAAGAGGTCAAGGCCTTGCCCTCAGAACCTCGCTTTGCTCCCAGCCTTGTGTTGGGGCTGCTGGGAGGGTGCCTGTTCCGGGGTCTGGTGAGGGTCTTGCCAGTGAGCGTGGCCTGTTCGGGTATCCACCACGCCTGGGCCAGGGAGGGCGGTGCTGACGTGTGGCTTTGACTGCTCCGGCTGCCTCTGCTGTCGGTGCTCCCGGCAGGACTTCCCCACTAGGAAAAGCAGCCAGAGCAGGCCCCGGCGCTCCTACAGCTCAGACCGACAGAGGCGTCTCGGGGGCATGTGGTATTTTCCCCAGAAGAGGGCAGGTGGGGCTGTGAGCCACGGTGGTCCTGACACCTGCTGAAAAGTGACTTTGGCCCCGGAGGAGGAAGTCCTCCTCATAGACCCTCCCTTACGTGACAGGATCCCCCCTAGGCCGGCTGCTGACCTTCAGGCTGTCCTTGGGCAAGCCCCCCTATGTGGCCTGGTGGCCACCGCCCGCGGAGTGGGGCTGGGGCTGGGGCTGGGGCTGAGGTGAGCGTCAGGCTATGGGAGCGCTCCTGCATCATGTTCAGCACACTGAAGTTTGCATTTTTGCATGGTTTTTTCTTTCTCTATTTTTCTTTCTTTTTTTTTTTTTTTGGACCAATTTACCTTTTTAATTTCCCTCTTTAATTTCAATTCTACATTGCCGGACATGAAGCTCATTCCTCTGACCAGGGGTTGGTGGTGTCATAGGGACTTAGGGATGAGGGTCACTGGGTCATGGGCACAGGATAGAGAAGTACTGGCTGTGGGGTCTGACCTCCCCCTCCCCTGCCGCCCAGGGCTAAAATCCCCTAGACACACCCTGGAGAGTGTGCAAGGGCCCCCACATTCTCACTGCAGATGGTTTTCACCAGGTCAGCTGTTGCCCTTCAAACCCTGAGCTGGGGCATCCCAGAGAAAGGGATCTCTCACTTACCTGCTCTGTGTCCTTGGGCAAGTGACTTAACCTCTCTGAGCCTTTGTTGTCTGTAAAATAGAGGCAATAATACCTCCTAACAGTCAGAGAATTTATGAAATATTACACATCAAGTGTGCAGCACAGGCCTAACACACAGTAGGTGCTCAAGACATACCAGCTAGTGTTACCGTTGTTACTCAGTCACTTCCATTACCCTCTGCTCTCCCCTGCAGCAGCGACGAGAGGGACAAGAGAACTTGACCAGCAGGAGGCTGGGTGATAGTTCTGTCTGTGCCTTACTCTGGCCTGAATCCCAAGGAAAGCCCCCTCTCCACTGCACAAGCCTTTATCCCGTGCCCACTCTAGGACAGATCCTGTGCTGGGCTCTTGGTAAACAGTGTTGGCCATGACAAACACGTTCATGACCCCAGGAACGCAAGGCCATGAAGGAACAAATTCTTGTTCAAGCTCCTTGATGAGGTTCCCAGGCCTACAGGTTCCCCTCATTCCAGAGCCTCCCCAGCTCCCCTAGAAAGGCTTCTTAGACCCCACTTGGTCACCAGAGAGTAGCAGCACAAAACTGAACTGTGGTTAATGTGAGTTAAAAAAAAAACCCTGTCTCGTCTTCTGTTTAGATTAAGTTAATAGAAACTGAGTTATTGCAGCTGACACAGCTGGAGTTAAAGAGGAAGTCCCTGGACACAGAGACACTCCAGGTATGTAGGGCTCCCTGCCCCTGCCCTCCTTCACGTGGTGAGACCCCCACCTGGTGCTCCCTCCCAGCCCCTAGGAGTCAAGGGCTTCTCCAGCAGACAGAGGGCAGAGCTCCTCTGTGGCTATGACACCAGAGGACACCCCCCAGCCCCAGAAGGCCCAGCGCAGGCCAGGGTTAGAGGTGCTCAGCCTGTTGCGAGGCAGGAGGGTCAGAGGAAGGAGGGTTTCATTGCCAAGGCTCCCCCACTCCATCTCCATCACTGCGTTTCCTGTGCTGGCTGCGGGCCCGCCGCTGAGCTCCTGTCTCTCTCTGTAGGCCGTGCTTTAGGCCCCTGGGCAGGCATCCTCCAGGGCTGGAGCTTTTGGGTGTCCCGGGATGTCTGGAGGAGAGGGCCCAGCCGCATCTGTGTAATTCCCTGCAGGCAGCATCTCTGGGGCTCCAGCCCGGGAGTCCTGCCCACACAGATGAGAGGGCAGCAGGGACTGGCAGCTGGCCTCCTGGACTGGATGCCTGGGAGCTGGGTGTGGCCTGGCATAACCCTGCTGTGCAACCTTGGCAGGTTGGGGAGGAGGGGCAGCCCCTTCCCCTCTCTGAACCTCAGCCTCTCCAGCTGCAGACGGAGGGCTGGATGGGGTGCCGTGTGAGGACATGTGCCCCTGCCAAGAGTTTGAGCAGAGCCTTCGGTCTGTCACTGTCCCTGTGTCTGTTCTCAGTGGAGAGGTCTCAAGCCGTCCCATGGACTCCTCAGTGCAGTGAGGGGTCTGGGGTCTGGATCCCTGGTCTCAGGTGCACCGCAGGTGTGCTGTGTGCCCTTAGGCAGGCATCTGCCCCTCTAGGCTTTCTTCCCCTACTCCGTAAGATGACAGCGGTCCTCCAGGCCCAGGCTGTGCCATCAGGCCATCGGAGAAGGCTGAGCTAACAAGGGAAAGCCCTTTGCGAGCCTTGAAACGATCTTCAGAGATGAGAGGACTGGGGCTGTCTCAGAGAAGCTGCAGCCGTCGTGCCTGGCGGGTGCCCTAGTCCCTGCCCACGAGTGCGGCAGGGCTCTGGCTGTCGGGGCCCCCATGGGGTTTCCAAGAGCAGGTGTGGGAGTGGAGCAGGGACCCCAGGCTCTGGTTTGCACGCACCTCCATTTGTGTGGGGCCCCACACCCTTCCCCGCCATTTGCTTCTGCCCCTGTGCTCTGTTGTCTGGGAGACCAAGGCAGGCACCGGTGGCTTGTCATTTCTTTTGTTTGATGTTTCTTACCATCCCATTGTCATCAGTCACCAGGATCCCATGCCTGACTTAACCCCACAAGGAAGAGAGATGCAGGCTTAGGGGAAGGGCATCTTAGCTTTGTCCCCCAGCTCAGCCTGGAGGCGTTGGGCAGAGAACCGGGTGAGCAGGAGGCCAGGCCCTTCTCCATCCTGCCACCGCGGGACTCCTGTGCTGACGCCAGCTCACGGTGGTGTGGGATGTGGTCTTGTTTGCAGGAGATGATCTCGGAGCAGCGCTGGGCCCTCAGCTCCCTGCTCCAGCAGCTGCTCAAAGAGAAGCAGCAGCGAGAGGAAGAGCTCCGGGAAATCCTGGTATGTGTTTGGCTTCTGTGCTCAGCATCACACACGCGTTTACTTTTCTTTAACAGACTTGCCATTTTTAGAAACACCTGTTATTCAAGTAAGAGTTGTTCATCAAAGAAAAACTGGAAAGTGCAAAGGAAAATAATTGCATTTCCAAGCGTTATCTCCTGCCATTTGTTGTTTGTTTGTTTGTTTGTTTGTTTGAGACAGGGTCTCACTCTGTCGCCCAGGTTGGAGTGCAGTGGTGCAATCTCAGCTCCCTGCAGCCTTGACTTCCTGGGCTCAAGCAATCCTCCCACTCAGCCTCCCGAGTAGCTGGGACTACAGGGATGTGCCACCATGCCTGGCTAATTTTTTTTATTTTTCATAGAGATGGAGTTTCGCTGTGTTGCCCAGGCTGGTCTCCAACTCCTGGGCTCAAATGATCTGTCTGCCTTGGCCTCCAAAAGTGCTGGTTTTACAGGCATGAGCCACCACGCCCAGCCTCTCCTGCTGTTTTGTTGCATATTTTCCAAACATTGTGATGCATCTTGATAGCTATTCATGTGTGTGCCTTTTAAACGTGACATGGTACACACCCTTTTCGAGCAGCCTGTTTCCGCACATTCTTTTCAAGTCATTAAACTATTCCTTGATGTCCTTTTTCAAGACTGTGCTTGGCCCCTATCGTTGAGTATGTGGATTACTTCTGGTTTGTAAACGTTTCCAGGTGGTGCTCTCCGAATGCCTTTGTAGTCGAGTATTCGGGAACGGCCATGAGCATTCACTCCAGACAGGACTCACTGTGTCCAGGGCAGGCCGTTTGATAAGTTTTTGGTCGGAGTGGCCCAGCCGTCCCCTGTCCCCTGATGGGTTTGACACTGGCACATTTTCAGTGTGGCAGAGGCCCCCTTGAGAGTGTCTCCTCTAGACCCAGTGGGAACCCAAGCAATGAGGACAGAGGCCAGGCCCACCATCTGGGGTGGAAAAGAACGAGTCGTTCCTGTGTCGCCATGAATGCACCAGACGCCCTCTGAGCTGCGTCCTAGGCCGGGCCCTGTGCAGGTTTAGAAGAGACCAGCTTCTTCTGGAGGCCTGAGCAAGCCTGTGCCCATCAGAGGAAGCTGCCTGTTCCTCACGGTGCCCTGCTGCCATCTCCTACGCATCAGGTTACTTTGCAGATGGTGGCTTGGCGCTGTGCCGTAGCAGCCAGGAGCTGTGGCTGGTGCTCCTGCCCTTGTAGGCCTTGGGGGTCACCACCAAAGGGGGAAGCACCGTCCCAGCAGAACACAGCCCGTCCAGCTCCTGGGCGCTGGAAGAGAGGGGCTGCAGCCCAGACAGAAGGGAGCAGTGGGCGTGGCCAGGTCCAGGGGGCCACGAAAGGGCAGTCAGGCCCAGCAGGGATTGGGAAACGCCTGCGCTGAGCCCATTACCCAGTCACGCCAGCCCTCACGGAGCAGCTGCGTTGTTCTGAGCATGGGCTCTGGAGTAAGACAGGCCTGGATCTGATTCCTGGCCCCACCCTGGGCAGGTTACTCATCACCCTGAACCTCAGTTCCCTCACCTGGGAGGTAGAATCTCCTTCACAGAGTTGTGAGGATTAATGAATGGCATCTTTAGGTGCACAGCATGGTCTGGCACGTGGTACTGTGAACACGTCAGCTACACCTGTTGTCACTGTGGTCGTTATCAGCATTGTTTGTTCACTGCTGTAAGTGCTCCCAGCACCTAGAGCAATATTCAGCGAAGAGTTATCGAATGGCGGAATAAGAGAATCATGTTCAGGCCGGGCATGGTGGCGCACACCTGTAATCCCAGCACTTTGGGAGGCCAAGGCAGGCGGATCACCTAAGGTGGGAGTTCAGGACCAGCCTGGCCAACATGGAGAAACCCCGTCTCTACTAAAAATACAAAATTAGCAAGGTGTGGTGGCACATGCCTGTAATCCCAGCTACTTGGGGGGCTGAGGCAGGAGAATCACTTGAGCCCGGGAGGTGGAGGTTGCGGTGAGCCGAGATCATGCCATTGCACTCCAGCCTGGGCGACAAGAGTGAGACTCTGTCTCAAAAAAAAAAAAAAAAAAAGAATCATGATCAATGGCACATTGATCATTTTTCAGCTCTGTCAGACAGTGAAGCCCACTCTAGAAGCTGAAGGTGTCCTTCGCACCTGTATCCCCCTTGCCTGGCACCCAGGAGGCAGCCCGGGCTGGGTAATGCTTGCTCTCCCACAGGCAGACAGAGGGGGTACCTCCCACAGGGAATGGCAGAGTGTGGTACCAGGTGGCAGAAGCTCAGGTTCAGGCGCTCCCCCTGACCAGGTGTGTGGCGTCGGGCAGGTCAGCTACCTTCTCTGAGATCGTCTCAGCAGTAAATTGGAGAGAGTGATGCTTCCTGCTTTTCTCATTTCTATAGTTTAAACTATAGACAATAAGCGGGGTGGGAAAGTTCTCTGTAAAATACTAAGTGCAGCCGGTCACAGTGGCTCACGCCTGTAATCCCAGCACTTTGGGAGGCCGAGGTGGGCGGATCACTTGAGGTCAGGAGTTTGACACCAGCCTGGCCAACATGGCAAAACCCCGTCTCTACTAAAAATACAATAATTAGCCAGGCGTGGTGGCGCACACCTGTAGTCCCAGCTGCTCAACCTGGGTGACAGAGTAAGAGCCCATCTCAAAAATGAAATGAACTGAAATGAAATGAAATAAAATAAAAAAGTACCAAGTGCTGTCCACCAGCTCAGAGGAGCATAGTTCATAACTATCATTGTTTTTTTTGTTTTTGTTTTTGTTTTTTTGAGACAGAGTTTCGTTCTCGTTGCCCAAGCTAGAGTGCAGTGGTGCGATCTCAGCTCACTGCAACCTCCGCCTCCCAGGCTCAAGAGATTCTCCTGTCTCAATCTCCGGAGTAACTGGGATTACAGGCATGCACCACCATGCCCTGCTAGTTTTGTAATTTTTTTTTTTTTTTTTTTTGAGAGAGTCTCGCTCTGTCGCCCAGGCTGGAGTGTAGTTTTGGTGCAATCTTGGCTCACTGCAAGCTCTGCCTCCCGGGTTCACGCCATTCTCCTGCCTCAGCCTCCCGAGTAGCTGGGACTACAGGTGCCTGCCATCACACCTGGCTAATTTTTTTTTTTTTTTTTTTTTTGTATTTTTTAGCAGAGACGGGGTTTCACCATGTTAGCCAGGATAGTCTCGATCTCCTGACCTCGTGATCCTCCCGCCTCAGCCTCTCAAAGAGCTGGGATTACAGGCGTGAGCCACTGCGCCCAGCCTAGTTTTGTATTTTTAGTAGAGATGGGGTTTCTCTGTGTTGGTCAGGTTGGTGTCTCACTCCCGACCTCAGGTGATCCGCCCACCTCGGCCTCCCAAAGTGCTGGGATTACAGGCATGAGCCACCATGCCCGGCAACCATCATTGTTATTACAGGTTTTATTACCGTTTTGAAACTAACATTGCCTGCTTCATTCCTGGCAGACGGAGTTAGAAGCCAAAAGTGAAACCAGGCAGGAAAATTACTGGCTGATTCAGTATCAACGGCTTTTGAACCAGAAGCCCTCGTCCTTGAAGCTGCAAGTAAGGACTGCTGGTGCCTGCCCCGGCCAGGGAGCCCCGGGGACCTCCTCCCAGAGGCGCCTGTGGTGCCTCCACCATGCTCTGCCTCGTGTTACCTTCCTGGTGACTCTAGCATGCCAGATCCTGTGCCAAGCCCCAGTGGAGACAGAAGTGAGAGTGAGGGAGTGTTCATTCTGATGAGGGGGGTGACAAGGCTGGTCACTGCTGTGCGGGGCAGAGACCACTGAGCCCACAGTAGAGCAAAGCCTGTGCCAGGAGCCACTGTCTGCCCAGCACCTGCAGGGCGAGAGAGGCGGTTGAAACAGCCCCCTCTTGATGGATGTTCAAGTTGCTTACTATTTTCAGGTTTGCAGACAGAGCGGCAGTGAACCCCTGGGCCTGCCTTTCTCTGTGTGCCTACACATGAGTTTTTGTAGGAAAAATCCCGAGTACATTCTATGTATTAGGTTATGTATATTCAAACCCTTCATTTTCTGTTGTAAACGGGGTTCTTTTCTTCCTTCCCGCTCATGGTACACGTTTCTTGCAGGAAGAGGGCATGGAGCGCCAGCTGGTGGCCCTCCTGGAGGAGCTGTCGGCTGAGCACTACCTGCCCATCTTTGCGCACCACCGCCTCTCACTGGACCTGCTGAGCCAAATGAGCCCCGGGGACCTGGCCAAGGTAGGCAGCAGCCGTCCGCAGGGAGAGGAGGGGCATGCAAGGCCACTGTCCTGACCAGCCGGGGGTTGACCTGCTCCTTGTGTAGTCCTCAGTGAGGCCTGTCCTTACCTAATGGCCCAGGGTCACCTTGCTTCCAGATGGCCAGAACCCCTGCCCTTCTGCCCCAGACGCCTGTGTGTGCCCTACACACTGTCTCACTGGGAAATCCTGGGGAGGTGGGTCCTGCTGACCTGCTCAGACTGGATCTTCAGACTGGAGGGACAAGACAGGCCCTTGGGGATTATCCGATCCGGCCTCTGCCCTGCCCCATGGTGTCACAGACTGTCGTGGCCACAGCACTGCCTGAGCCCCTGTTCCTTTCTGGGCACAAGCTGAGCTCTTTACAGCACATTAATCCACTTATTCTTCAAAACAGAATGATCATCACTGTGCCAACTAACTTTGTAGCACCTGCACGTGCTGGGCACCATGTTAAGCACTTTTTGTATTCAAACTCACTGAATTCTTCCGACAGCCTAGCGGGGTACATATCATTATCATCTTTCAGATGAGACCCAGTAAGGCAATAACTTGGCCCGGCCGGGCGCGGTGACTCACGCCTGTAATCCCAGCACTTTTGGGAGGCCGAGGCGGGCGGATCACGAGGTCAGGAGATTGAGACCATCCTGGCTAACACGGTGAAACCCCGTCTCTACTAAAAATGCAAAAAATTAGCCGGGCGTGGCAGCGGGTGCCTGTAGTCCCAGCTACTCAGGAGGCTGAGGCAGGAGAATGGCGTGAAACCGGGAGGCGGAGCTTGCAGTGAGCCGAGATCGTACCACTGCACTCCAGCCTGGGCGAATGAGCGAGACTCCGTCTCAAATAATAATAATAATAATAACTTGGCCCAAGGTCACACAGCAGAGTGAGGCCTCTACTCCAAGCAGTATAGCCCCAGAGTTCGTGTTCTTTGCCATGAGACTGTCCTGCCCCTCCCTGGACAGATGTAGACACCAGGGTCCGAAAGGACTGGATGGCACTGAGGGTCACAGGCTGTGCCGCTCAGGGTCTGGAGGCTGAGGGACTGTGGGGCTCACGTGCTGCTGCTGCCTTGTGTCTTGGCCTCCCAGGCTTCTCTCCTGCCCCACCTGGTGGGGAAGTGGCTGAGGTATGCAGGTGAAGCCTGGCACCGGGAAGCGGTTGCTAAACTGTAGCTGTTGCTAGTGCTGGTTTCCCTTTGGGCTTCAGTTTCCCCCCAACCCCTGCCACACTGATTGGGCTGAGGCCTGGGGAGGTTGCCCTCACAGCTATGGAGCCGCACTGCTTCATCCTGACCTTGGGCCCCACCAGGCCCCGGAAGGCTTCCACATTTCCAGCAGAAGGTGCCAGCGGTCCTGTGGGCCTGGGCCTGTGCCAGGTAATTCATGCCATTTAGCAGGCTCCTGCCCAGGCCACAGTCTGCACTTCCTTGAACTGTTACAGGTGGGCGTCTCAGAAGCTGGCCTGCAGCATGAGATCCTCCGGAGAGTCCAGGAACTGCTGGATGCAGCCAGGATCCAGCCAGGTAGCAGCACAGCTCTGGCCTCTTCCGGGCAGGGCTCCCAGCCGTATGTGTGGGCTCTGGTGGGGACAGTCATTTGCTTACATTTCAGGATGAGTCCTGAGGGCTGGTTCTAGCCCCTGCTGGTCGGTAAGGTTCCCTCCCAAGGAGCGGGCTTAGGGATCAGTGAGCCCGTTTTACGGATGGGAAAAACTGGCCACCAAACTGGGAGAACAGGAGACCTCCACGTAGCAGTGGAGGGGCCCTCCCAGCTCCCTGTCCCATAGCCTTCCCTCAGTTCACCCTACAGTTGCTGGGATCCACACACTGAGGGACTTTGGACTAGAGGGAGAAATAGCGTGTCCCCAGGGCCTGCAGTGTGCCCAGTGCTGGGCCTGAGGCACACCTGTGGATAGGGAGAGATGTCCACAACAGGCTGTGAAGGGGCGAAGGCAGGTCGTGAGGGCCATGGGGAGAACGGGCAGGTGTGGAGTCTGGGGTCTGCCATGTGCTAAGCACGACCCGGGGGCCCGGCACCTGCCCACTGCTGTGCATGAACTGCGTTGCGGAGCCTCCGGATCAACCCCGCGAGGAGGCACTGTTGTGGTCCTGATTTTCAAGATGAGGAAACTGAAGTGGAGAGAGGTTAGCATGTCCCCCGTCAGGTCCCACTGCTGGCAAATGGTGGAACCACTGGGCTTGACTGCCTCCCTGGGGAAGAGGTGAGGGGCCAGGGCAGGAGTGAAGGAGAGGGCAGGCTTGTGCTGCTGGGCTGGGCGAGGCTCTGGGCAGGGCATTTTTAACCAGAGCCAAGGAAGAGGCAAAGGAGCTGAGGCGAAGGTGGAGTTCTGGACTGGACCTCAGTGGGGAGGCCCCGGGACTCCAGGGGGCTGGGCTGACTGCAGCCCCGGGATAGCTTCAGGCACCAGTTTTGCAGCCACTTTTACTCCAGGGACATTGACTCAACCCCCAAAAAGTTATTAAACTTCTTATGTGCAGAACAGACCCCTTCTGGATGTTCCTGACCCTCCAGCTCTCAGACTGGAGATCAGAAGAGATTTCCATCAGGAGTTGGGGTCACCCCTGGCAGACAAGCCTCACGTGAGCAGGAGTCACAAACAGGTGCCCTGCACCCTGAGCGGGGTGCAGTGCCTCTGAGCCTAGTGGTCCTCAGGACCGGCTGCTTCTCACTGTTTGAGTCATCCTTGGACCAAACAAGCAGGTTCTTCCTCTCTATAGCAGATAGGCCATGAGGATCTATGGCCACATGCAGAGAGTGGATGCCTGGGCTGCTTAGGGCTTCCTGCTTGTGCCCATTGGGGAAGGGGCCATGGTGGGATCTGTCCCGAGTTCCAGAAGGCAAGGGAAGCCCTCAATTTCCTAACAATTCTCTTATTACTCCCAGAAATCGGTATACTTTATATCAAATATAGAAGCTGGGGCCGGGTGCAGTGGCTCATGGCTGTAATCCCAGCACTTTGGGAGGCCGAGGCGGGCGGATCACCTGAGGTCAGGAGTTTGAGACCAGACTGGCCAACATGGTGAAACTCCATCTCTACTAAAAATACAAAAAGTAACCGCGCGTGGTGACGCACACCTGTAGTCCCAGCGCTCGGGAGGCTGAGGCAGGAGAATCGCTTGAACCCAGGATGCAGAAGTTACAGTGAGCCAAGATCGCACCATTGCACTCCAGCCTGGGTGACAAAGTGAAACTCTGTCTCAAAAAACAAAAAAGAAAAAGAAAAAAACAAATATAGAGGCCGGGCGCAGTGGCTCAGGGCTGTAATCCCAGCGCTTTGGGAGGCCTGCGCGGGAGGATCACTCAAGCCCAGGAGTTTGAGACCAGCCTGGGCAACATAGAGAGAAACCACTTCTCTACAAAAAATAAAATTAGATGGGCGCAGTGGTGCACACCTTAGTTCCAGCTACTTGGGGGGCAAAGGTGGGAGGATCGCTTGAGCTTGGAGGTCGAGGCTGCAGTGAGCCATGATTGTGCCCCTGCACTCCAGCCTGGGAAAGAGTGAGACTGTCTCAAAAACAAAACAAAACAAAAAAATCAAAAAATTAGCAAGGCGTCATCCCAGCTACTCTGGAGGCTGAGGTGGGAGGATTGCTTGAGCCTGGGAGGTTGAGGCTGCAGTAAGCTGTGATCATAACACTACACTCCAGCCTGGGTGACAGAGCAAGACCCTGTCTGGAAAAAAAAAAAATTATATATATATATACATACACACACACACACATATATATGAGAGCTCCCTCAAAATGGTAGCCTGGGGGCCAGGCGCGGTGGCTCACGCCTGTAATCCCAGCACTTTGGGAGACTGAGGTGGGCAGATCACGAGGTCAGGAGACGGAGCATCCTGGCCAACATGGTGAAACCCCATCTCTACTAAAAATACAAAAATTAGCCTGTCATGATGGCAGGCACCTGTAATCCCAGCTACTCGGGAGGCTGAGGCAGGAGAATTGCTTGAACCTGGGAGGCAGAGGTAGCAGTGAGCCAAGATCGCACCACTGCACTCCAGCCTGGGCAACAGAGCGAGACTCTGTCTCAAAAAAAAAAAAAAAGAGACTTCGCATTTTGTAAGGGCTGCTTCTGATGTCCTAGCAGGGGATGCTGGTTCCAGGGCAGAGCAGCCAGCATGCTGGGGACTCTGTGGGGCTGGGGGCAGGGGAGCAGTGTTGGGGGGCCTCTCATTCTGCTCCCCTGGGTCACCTGATGGGCAGCAGCCCATCCTGTCTCCTGGGCAACCAGGTGAGAAGCCAAGAGCTGGCCCTTCACTGAGAGCTCCTGCCCCAGGGCTCTGTGGCTGCACCACCAGATGGCTGCGTGGCCCTGGGTGAGTGACTCCCCGCCCCTGAGCCTCAAATGTCTCATCTCTGAAAGTGTCGAGCCCTACTTGCAGGGTGGCTCTGAAGGGTCCCGGGGACATTAGAGATCAGAGGACCCACTTAACAGGCGCTGCGGCCATCCCTGCAGAGAGAAACTTCAGTCCCATTCTGCAGATGGGAGATGAGGCTCCGAGAAGAGAAGAAGAGAGCGTGTTGGCAAGGAGAGCACTTCGCTCAGATCTGAGAGCAGAGGCTCCCCCACCCTCCACCTCACTCACTATGGGGACAGGCAGGCCCACGATGAGCCCCTAGGGGTTGGGGTCAGCGGAGATGACCGTGGCTCAGTCTGTCCATCTGGTCCCCACAGAGCTGAAACCACCAACAGGTGAGGTCCTCACCCCTACAGCCCCCCAGGAGCCTCCTGAGTCTGTGAGGCCATCCGCTCCCCCTGCAGAGCTGGAGGTGCAGGCCTCAGAGTGTGTCGTGTGCCTGGAACGGGAGGTAAGTCTGGGGCCCTCCCCACCCGCCTGCCCTGCCTGTGGCCACCCTCCTCAAATTCTCTAGGTATAGGGTTGTCTCTGAACGTGTTTTCTCCAGTTATCTAAGTAGACTGTGCTCACCTAGAAAGAATGCAGGAAATAAAAATGACCCCGATCCCATGACCCAAATATGAGCTGCACTCACATCATTTTCCAGATCTTTTTTCTTTTTGTTCCTACTTAATAAATAGGAAAAAAATTTCCCAAATCATGAAATATCAACAACATGATTTACCCTGCAGAAGCTTTAGAAAATCATCTTTTGGCCAGGCACAGTGGCTCACGCCTGTAATCCCAGCACTTTGGGAGGCCAAGGCGGGTGGATCACCTGAGGTTAGTTTGAGGCCAGCCTGGCCAACATGGTAAAACCCCATCTCTACTAAAAATACAAAAATCAGCCAGGCATGGTGGTGCACACCTGTAATCCCAGCTACTTGGGAGGCTGAGGCAGGAGAATCGCTTGAACCTGGGAGGCAGAGATTGCAGTGAGCCAAGATCCCACCACTGCACTCCAGCCTGGCAGACAGATCGAGACTCCATCTCAAAAAAAAAAAAAAAAATCATCTTTTAAAAATTCATTAACACTTATTGTAAAAATTACACAGAGCGGTGAATGAAATATAAATCCTTCTTTGCCTCCACTGAGGGATCCTACTTAGAAAAGCAGCCGTGTTTGCAGTTTGATGATTCCAGGGTCTCCAGTTGACCCAGCTCATGCCGTGATATGGATGGACCTGTTGGTTCCAAATATAATCCCTGTTCTGCGGCCCTTGGCATTACAGACAGCTTTGAGCGGAGCTTAGATCAGTTCCTGAAAGCAGGAGATGCTGAGGCAAAGTGTGGTCCTGAGTCAGTGGCTGCTGCTCCGGGTTGGGATCGTTTGTAGACTGAGGAGTTCAGGGCCTGGGCAAGTGCATCAACAAGGAAGAAGCCTGAACACCCTGCGTGCCCTCCTGCAGGGGCCGGCTGAACAGGCCTCCATCCCCTGTCCAGAGGGCAGGAATGTAATCCCCAGTTTTATTTAAGAAAGAAACAGTTGGGGCATTTATATGGGTATTTATATTTTTTTGCAAACTATAGAGAAATAGACAGCAAACTGCTAACAGAAGGACTAGGTTACCCCTTTCGGCCGTGCCTGTTCTGTTTCTGTGGCGTTCAAATGCCCAAAGGCCCCACTATCAGGTGTTTATGGTAAAGATGCTAAATAATAACGAAGGGGGCCGGCACAGTGGCTCACGCCTGTAATTCCAGCACTTTGGGAGACCCAGGCGGGCAGATCACTTGGGGTCAGGAGTTCGAGACCAGCCTCACCAACATGGTGAAGCCCCGTCTCTACTAAAAATACAAAAAATTTAGCCAGGTGTTGTCGTGCGCACCTATAGTCCCAGCTACTTGGGAGGCTGAGGCAGGAGAATCACTTAAACCTGGGAGGCCAAGGTTGCAGTGAGCTGAGATCACACGACTGCACTCCAGCCCGGGCAACAGAGTGAGACTCTGTCTCAAAAAAAAAAAAGGGCCTGGGGCCTGGGACTCCTGGAACCCAGCAGGGCCTGCCACATACTCCCGCTCTCCCTCCCCAGGCCCAGATGATCTTCCTCAACTGTGGCCACGTCTGCTGCTGCCAGCAGTGCTGCCAGCCACTGCGCACCTGCCCGCTGTGCCGCCAGGACATCGTCCAGCGCCTCCGGATCTACCACAGCAGCTGAGTCCTGCCCACCCACCTGGGCCTGGTCCTGGCCCTGCCTCGGCTGTTGTGAGCCCGGGCTCCTGCTCAGCCTTGTGCCAGCCAGACACGTATGAGGCCCCCCCTGCTCTGGGCCCCTTCCCCACCGCCCAGGAGCCCCCACCCTGAGCTCCAAGCATGTCTAGGCCAGGCAGAGGCGCTCCGAATCCATGACACCACTGGTCTAAATGGTCCCGGGGGCTGGGCTGGAGAGGCCGCTGCACCACCTCCCAAGCCTGGGAGCCAGCACCCCAGCCTAATCACGGATCCGCTGTCTCCCAGCTGTCTTGACTGAAGGTCACCGCCCCTGCAGGAGCTTGGTCCTCATCTGGGGACCATGCACAGTCCTGTCCCACTCTGCATGTGGGAAGGGAGCAGGAGGGCCTGGCTAGGTGAGCGGAGGCCGACCTGGGAAGGCGTGCGGTGCAGGCCTGTACTCACAGTGGCACCAGCACCCCTGGGCCTCCCTCTCTGCTGCTCCCCAGCACCCTGGGGCCCTCCTGCTCTCCACATCTGTCCCTCCTTACCCCATGTAGCTCAGTCTGAAGCAGGAGTGTCAATAAACCTGTCTTCAGCGTGCTGCTGGCCTGAGTCATCGCTGGGTCCTCATGGGAGCCCAGGGAGGGGCGGGGACGAGGTCTGGGGATGGGGCTAGGGCAGAGGGCAGCTCTTCTCGGGGAAGGAGGCAGGAGCGCGCCGCACCTCAGTCCACCTCAGTCCAAAGGAGAGGTCAGGTAGGGCCATCTTGAATGTCGCGTTATCCCAGCGTCCCCTTCACAGGTGGAGAGACCGGGGCCCAGAGGCAGCCAGGGCCCGTGATGGCTGCGGCCTGTGCCTCCACGAGCAGAGGAGCCCTGTGTGTTCCGTTCATTATCCCAGTGAGGCAGCTGAGGCTAATTAGGGGTAAATGCCCAGGGCCTTGCAACTGGGACATGGTGATGCGGGGTTTGAGGCCCAGAAGCATCCTCACCCTCAAACCTGTGCAGTTGTGCAGGTTTGGTCACTGCAAATTCTAGGAGCCATATACACTTGCACTCGCTGCAGGGGTGCACGTTGATTACACGTTTTCTGGCAGATGGTGTTGAGCCAGGTGCAGCCTCTTCCTTGGGCTCGTGGCAGGCCTGCTCGGAGCACCTGGGCTCTGCCTCCAGCTTACTCAGTGGTCCTAGCCAGTGTTTGGGCCCCAGTTGCCCTCAGCTGCCCTATGCATTCAACACAGGACGTGATGCGGCCCTGACCGGCTGGTGGCCTCCAGGGGGCGCTGAGTGCTTGCTCCAAGTACAGTGCCCGCAGGAGCAGGCAGGAGCGTTCAGGTCCTGGGGTGGCAGAAAAATCCCTACGCCTGGGCCTGCTTCCCTCTCACTGAGATCATCAGTCCTGTGCACTGAATGGGGCGGGCGGACACCCTTTGTCGTCTGAGTCGTTTCCTGGGCAGGTGCTGGGTGGCCTTTTCCCACCCACAGTTCCCCCTCCTCCCAGCACCCTCCTGGGCTCAACTTGGCCAAGAGGGGAGGGACTGAGACAGGCGGGGCTACCTCCTGGAGCGCAGTGCTTTGCAGATCTCCTTACACTCACTATGGCCCAGGGAGGCCTCATGGAGGAGTTCGAGGCTCAGTGACCTGCCACGGACAACAGCAAGGGACAGCCGCATCCCTGGTCTCGGGCCCTGCAGTCCTGTGTTTTGCACCTCAGCCCTTGTTGACCAAGGGAGGCCCAGGCCCAAGCCCTAGGCCACCACCGACAGGCTGGCACCAGAGAAGCCAACATCCCCAAGGTGACTGGCTGCCACCCCACCCAGTAGGACATGTTCCTACCCACAGGTGGGGCAACCCACCCCCAACAGCTGCGGGGGCTTCAGGGGTGTTCCTGTGCCACATAAGCTCGGCCCAGGTTCCCCACCTTCCTAGGCCTCAGTTTACACATTGGTGAAATGGTAGTGACGACAGTGTCCACTTTCTAGAGCTCTCTCGAGGCTCCTGTTCCCGCACACAAAGCGCTTGGCCCACAGTGAGCGCTTGGTAAACAGTAGTGTGTGACTGGGAGCGTTGAAGGAGCCGGCATCATTGTTTGGATCCAGCCCAAGCCTGGGCCCACCTTGCTGTGGGCACCCCAGGGCCCTGAATGGCCTTGAAGCTGCTGCCTGCTGCCGTCCCTCTTGGCCTCACCATCGCCCAAGGCTGCCTGAGGGGCACCCGGCACAGGTCTGGCTGAGGAAGCTGCCTGAGCTGCCACCAGAAAGCAGGTCACCTTGGACAAGTCCCTTCTCGCCGAGCCTGTTTCCTCCTCTGTAAAATGGAATAAGAACTCAGATCATGGACATAGAGGCACGCAGTCAAGTGAGAAGCCCAGAAAGCCGAGCCATATGGGGGCCTAGACACAGTCCCCAGCCCAGGCCTCCCTGTCTCCTACCCCCACAGCACCACTCAAGGCAACTGGCTTTAAATAAAGCGTTTATTGATTAGTAGAAGCATGAACAGTGTGCATAATATTTTCAATACAATATCAGAGAGGGATGACGGGAACCCCTCAAAAGGCACTAGAGGCGCAGATCTTCGGTACAAGAGGGAAGAGATGCGCCAGAGACCAGGGCTGGGGGGCTGGGGGTCCCTGAGTGCCAGGCACCACCACACGTCCTGTGGGTCAAGGCCCCTCCTCTGGGGAGCAGGTCTAGGGCACGGAGGATGCAGGGCTGGGACGGGACCCCACCTTGGGGACCCTGAAGGAGTCCATTTCTGCCCTGCCCCCAGCCAAGCAGCCGTGGGGGAGGTCTGGGGGTCCTGGGGTGGGGAATGCCAGGCCTGGGCCCATCCTGGTTTGACCTTTGTCCCAGGAACAAGAAGCTAAGTAGGGACGACAGCCAGGCCCAGAGTGACTCACAAGGACATCCAAAGAGGGACTGGATTTTCAGGGGGAGGTGACTTGGTAACTGAGAGGCAGCACAGGTCAAACCCTAGCCTGACCCCAGACCCTCAGGGAGGGCCCCCCAACCCTGTACCCCTTAGGATCCCCGTCCGGCTCCCCAGACAACCACTGAGGACCTCAGGGTGGCCCACAGAAGACAGAACCCAGCTCCACTACACCCCTCGCTCCCGCTCCAAGCACCAGAGGGACGGGGACCAGAGGGAGACCAGGCGGGCGGGAGGAGGCAGGCTGGGGCCAGGAGAAGGGGATACACAGGACCATAAAACCTCAGGCTCCCCATAACCCTCACTCAGCCATCTCACTCACTCACTCCCTCCCAGCATCCCCCAGGATGGGGATCCCCTCCTTCACTCAGGACACTTCCCCTCCGCAGACCTGCACGTTCTGGGCCTCTCTAATTTCACCCCAGGCCCACCCACCCCAGGAGGCACCCCCTAAATCCCATCCCTCCCCGCAGCACCCCCAGCCTGGCTCCAGCCTGAAGACCGCCTCCTTCCCCTTCTCTCCAGAGCAGTGGGGAAAGCAAGGCTGGGTCCACCCCTAACTGCGGAAGGAGCAGGGCCGGGGGCCACTGCGCTCCCTTCTCGTGTCCTGGCCCAGCCAGCCCCTGGGTGAGTGGGCGGGAACCCACTGGCCTCACAGCAGCTTTCACCTCCCTCTCTCCAAGAAGGATGGCAGCACCCATGAGGGGATGGAGGCCACAGAAGAAGGACAGGAAGGGAGGGGCTCTCCAGCCCCCCAGCAGTGTCCCGCCCTCGGCACAAGCAGGAAAACCCCCAAAACCAGCCCCTGCATCTGAGATCATCCCACAGAAGAGAAAACAGGGAGCAAGAAAGTGTTGACTGAACCCAATAAAGTGACTCAGGTGGGCCCGCTCCCTGGTGGTGCCACACAGCCCTGCCCCGCCTCCACCCACAAGGCACAACACAGACCAGGGTATCCTCCTCAGAGCCAAGCCTGCCTGGGCCCAGACGGGAGCGGCCCGTGCCGTGTGCAGCAGCCAGGGACCCACTGGCCTAGAACTCAGTCTGCACCCCTGCGCTGTCCTCGGTGGTGGTGTGGAGGGCGGGGTGGCTGCTGGGGCTGGACACCTGCTCTCCAGTCTCCTGGTCGCTGGGCTTGGGGGGTCCAAGGTCCACAGCCTTTCCAGGCAGGAGATGCTGGAGGGGTGAGGCAGGCGGCGAGGAGGCCTCGGGGGCGGCCTCGGGCTGGGGGGTCTCCCCGGCAGGTGCCCCGTTGGGTAGGGGGCTGGCTGGCGGGGGGCTCTCAGCCCGCAGACCTTGGGCCAGCAGGCCTTGGATCTCAGTGACACTGTCCGGGGACGCAGGTGACGGTGACTCAGGGCTAGCCTCAAAGGGCAGCCCCACCTCCTCATCCTGGACCACAGAGACCACCTGCTTGGCGCGCCGTCGCTTTTCCGAGAGGGTGGCTGCCTCCGGGGTGCTGGGGCTGGGGCTGCCGCCCCCACCGCTGTTGCTGTACTCCTCGCCCCAGTCGATGGGGGCGCCCTCGGCCAGCAGGTGCAGGTTGGGGTCGCTGTTGTGCATGACCATGCTGTCCCGGTACAGGTTGTGCTTCCTCTGCACCGCGGCCTCCTTCACAGCTGCAGGGCCACAGGCGAAGGGTCAGGACACAGCACTGATCCCACAGCCGCCCCCATGCTGGACTCTGCTCAAAGGAGACCCGTCTCATCCCACCATGGGGGTCTGTGATTGGGATGTGACTTATTCCAGGCCTCATTGCTAAAAGCAGCAAGGCTGTGATGCTAACTCCAGGCCCAGACCACATGCCATCTAATCACTCATCCCAGCCTCCCAGCAAAGCCAAGGACACGAGAAGAAACTAAAGCACAGAGATGCAAGGCTGTCCGCTCCTGGGGCCACACAGCCAATGGTGGGCTTCACCCAGCCCCTACATGCAAGTCTGGCCTTTGTGCCTTAGCTGACCCCCTCAGCTGCCACCACCTCTCAGCTGCCCCCCAGCATCCTCCTGGCAACAGTCCCCACCCCGGGACGGCACCCACCCTGCAGGATGTCCTTCATGACGGTCTGCAGCACCACCTCCTCGTACGTGTTTTCCACCAGGATGAACTTGGCAAAGTCCTCGAAGATCAGCTCCTGGAACCGGGGCAGCTCCTGCCCAGGTGGGGTGGCAGAGATGAGAGGTCAGGGCCAAGGGTAGAGGAGGTCTGTGGGCTCCACCCCCGACTTAGGGCCCGAATGGCTGGAGCAGGTGGGGGCCGCTCACCGACTTGCAGGTAGGGGCCAGCTTCTTGAGCAGGAAAGGGATGCTGACCTGCAGCAGCGCCTCCCGGAAGAACCTCTTCCGCACAGAGCTGCTGTCGTAGTCGTATTTCTGCAGGGAACGAGGGGGTCAGGGGCCTGCAGGTCAGTGGGCTCCACTGGCCCTGAGGGTAGGACGAGGCCAGTGGTCTGACCCAAGCCTCCGAGTCCTCCTCCGCACAAGAGGACCATGGCGCCTCCTTGCAGGGACAGCAATCCTGGTGGCGGCCGGGGATGGGGCTTGGGGCTTGGGGCTCGGCCTCACCTAGGACGGTCCGGGGCAGGGCGTGGGGCCGCTCACCTTCAGCACCCGCTCCAGGACCCGCTGGATGGACTTGCACAGCTCCTCCTTGGTGGGCCCCTTCCCCAGCTCCTG